CAGGTCCTTGTGAAATGCTCTGATTGTACCTTGGCACCTCAGCTGGTGGAACAAGTGGGAGCTGAGGTGTCCCCCACAGCCTTTGCTTCACTGCCATTCTGTGATGCGTTGCAGGACTTCGTAGTTCCGTTTGCACCCTTGGAAGGAAGGGTGTTTGTTAGAAGTGCCTTTGCACGGACGCTGCTCCCACAAACCTGCGTGGCAGAGCTCCCACACTGCTGAAGCAGGGCAGAATTTGGTGCATATCATTCACACGATGCCCCTCACTGCTCCTCGCTGCCTCCACTGCGATGTTCTGCCCAGATCCTGCTCCCCCGACACAGCACTTCCAGTTTCAAGTCTGTGGTTGCCAGGCTGAGTCCATTCCCTTCCTCCTCGTTTTTTTTTCTTTGCACAAACACTTGGATGTTTGTTGCTCCCTGGCAGGATGGTGCTCACCTACAGTGTAGGTAGAGGGACCGGTCAGCCTGCCCTGCTGCGCAGCGCTTCGAAGGCTCTCACGCAGTTAAGTTGGTTCTCTTGGAGGATGCTGCACACCTGTGGTTGATGTCATCTGTGATGGGAGCAGATGGAAGAACCCACCAGATGTTTGTGCTTTATCTTTCTCACCTTATTCCCCTCCCCTTTTGCCTTTAATATCCTTCAGGTGTTGAGCTGTTGTTTGACAGCTGGTTGGAGATCATGGACCATGCAGTTGCGTTGCTGTCCCTGTGTCTCGTTCCTGGTTAGATTCAGAATTCTGGGATAATTTGGCCTCGGGGTCATTCAGGGCTCAGAGCAGAGCTGTATAATGATTGCACTGGGATTTCATGCAGTCTAAATCAAACTTTTCACATGGAAAACAGTGCATTTTGGTGCTCTCTGCAGAGAAACCAGCAGCAAACTTCTCCTCTGCCTGTGCTCAGCAGCAGCTTCCCCAGGTGTGGATGGGAGAAGGATCCCAGGCGTTGTGTTCTGCCTGAAAGCTTGTCAAAAAACCCTTTTTCGTGTTATCTGCTTCAGGTCTGCTTGTGCCTTCTGCTCTGCTTCTAGCTGTAAGAGGAGAGCGCAGCACTTCCCTGCTGCAGGAGAGACAGCTCATCCCGCCCGCTGACGCGCGCAGCAGCGAGGGCTCAGTGACTCCTGTGTTTAGTGGTTTGGCAGTTTCTCAGTGCAAGGTCAGTATTTTAACTTCATACTTAAGGAGAGGGATTTCAGTATTCCATTTCAGCGACGTTCCGTGGCCCCAGCCTTCATTCAGCATTCATTGCAGCCAGGTCAGCACCCACCTTCCATTTCCCCTTCCCCTGACCCAACCCTGTGACTTGCAGAGCTGTGACCCGTGGGTCAGCTGTGCTGGGGCTGAGTCTGCTCAGCTTACAGCTGTCTTCCTGAGGGTGGCTTTGCTGGGGACGACGTGGCACCGTAGCTCCTGGTGCACTGTTTTATTTCAAACAATGGCAATGTCACGACGACGGGTTCTTGAAGTGAAGACTGCAGATGAATGGAGTATTCCTCAGCCTGCCCTCCCTGCTCCCTCCCGACAGGAAAGGAGTGGTGCAGAATGCACACTGAATGGCATTTCCTATTTTGTGAAGCTGGCAGCATGTAAAAACCAAGTCCACGCGGGACAGCTGCAAGAAAAAAAAATTCACCTGCCCATTAAATAAGCTTAAATTGCAGTTTTTCTGGATGAAAACATTGCAGACATTTTCAGCGAGCATCGCAACAGACTGGGTTTGTTTTCTGAGAGCAAGGAGGTAACGCTGGGCAGCTCCTTGGTCTGTTTTTCAGCTGCAGTAAAAATATTTCAGCTCTGCTTCTGCCAGCACAAGCCCTGTTTGTCTGAGCCTCTTCTGATGAGGGTGACTGGCTGTCATGCAGTTTGTGAACAGTTTTCTGAAGGAGCTGAAGCATTCTTCCCTGTCTGATATCTGGTCAGGGTTACCTGAGCAAAAGTCTTCAAGCAGCACTGAACACTCAGTAGACAGACCTGGTGTCACGTCTGAAAGGCACACTTGTCTGACTGGCCTTTAAATCCAGGTAAATGCAATTTCACTACCAGCACTTTGCTTCAGGGCCCTCAGCAGCCCGTCCTCGGCTGTGCACATACATCTCTTAGGGAAGCAGGTTTTAATTGACATCTTCCTGCGTGTGCTGTGAGAATGGAGTCAGAGCCTGCAGAAATAGAATGTTACATGTGTTGGGCGGTAGGAAATAGCAGAGAGCTGTCACTGGGGGTAACCCAAATCAGGAGGGGTTTGCAGCAGAAGGACCTGGGAGTTCTGGTGGCCAGTGGTTGGCCATGAGCCAGCAGCGTGCCCTGGTGGCCAGGATAACCAAGGGTGCCCTGGAGTGCATTGTGTAGAACGTGGCCAGCGGGGAGAGGGAGATGATCTCTCCTCTGCTCTGCCCTGGGGAAGCCATGTCTGGAATGCTGTGTTCAGTGCTGGGCTTCCCAGTGCCAGGCAGGCAGGGCTGCAAAGATGGCAGGGTCTGGGGAACAGCCAGGGACCTGGGGCTGTTCTGCCCAGTGAAGAGAGGGCTGAGAGGGGATCTCATCACTCTTTATAAATACCTGAAGAGCAGAGGAGTTACCAAGTCAAAGATTAATGCAGAATTCCCCACGTAATGTGGATGGCGGTGTCTGGTCTCATGGTAGGGTGCCTTTGCTGAACCGTCTGCATTCTGCAGATGTTGTTTTGCAGTATGGGTTCCCAGCCTTGCCAGCTAACTCTTTTCTTTATTTGTACTGAGTGCATTTCAAGTTGCATCATTTCCTCGGTCAGAACAGTTTTATTTTTGACTGCAGTGTTTGTCAGGTGGGAGAAGCCCTTAATGTGAGTGCTCTCTGGTGGCGAAGATTTCTGCTTCAGCTCTGATTCGTGTGGTGTTTTCCAGTGGCAATTAGACATGAAGGTGGGACGTCCACATGTGTACAGCTGCAACCTTTCCCCTTGGCTGCAGGGCTGGTTCTGAGACGCCAGATTAGTAAGTGGGAAGTTCAGTTCTCCTTCCCCTCGGCCTCGCCATGCATCAGGATGGGGTTTTGGTGATGTGTACAAATGGGGTCTGACCCTGGAAGCGTCAGCTCCCGGGAGCAGGGCAGCTCTTCCTCTCAGCACGTGCTCTGTGCGCGGCTTTCAGTCACAAAATCCCGCTGCTGAGTGGGCGTTGGGGCCCCCAGTGAGCCCCTCTGCTCTGCTGCGTGACCCCTCCGTGCAGCAGAACCAAAACACAAATGCTGCTCGCACCTCGGGCTGCTTAAGTTTGCTTAAGTTTTCACGAGTTCTCCCTGGGCAAAGCAAAGCAGGGCTCAGAGCAGAGCAATGCGGTAGGAAAACAGCCGCTGCTGTTCTTGGCTGCCGCAGCCGGCGCGTGAAAAGCGGCTTTATCAGCAGCGAGGGGCGGCTCGGGAGCTTCGGATCACGGCGCTGGGACACCTCAGTGCTGGGAAATGGGGACGGGGGAGCAGGAGGTGAGCAGGAGTCACTCAGAGCCACGCTGGCTGAGATGCACATCTGCCAACCCACAGGGAACCTCTGCTCAGGGAATCGCGGAGTGGCTTCTGTAGGAGGGACCTTAAAGTTCATCTGCTTCCAGCCCGGTGCTGTGGGCAGGGTTAGGTTGGCCCCAGCACAGCATCCTGCTTTTGGCTGCGTTGGACCTCACTGAGCTCTCGTGTGCCCAGTTCTGGAGCCTGTCCAGGTCTCTCTGGATGGCATCCCTTCCTCTCGTACCGGCTGCACCGCTCAGCTCCGTGCTCCCTGCAGCAGCTGAAGTGCACCAACCCCATCCTCTGTGTCACCGATGGAGGCATTGAAGAGCACCAAATGCGGACCCTGGGGGCAGCGCTCGCCACCACCTGCAGCTGCACATGGAGCCACTGAGCACAGCCCTGTGGCTGCGGCCATCCAGCCAGCCCTTCGTGCAGCTCAGAACCCACCTCTCTCCAGCACAGAGATGGGGACGTGGTGCAGGGCTGTGCCAGAGGCCTCGCACAACTGCAGGCAGCCACAGCAGCCGCCCTCCGTTTGTCCACAATGCTGTCACTCCATCCTCCTCCTCCCCCTGCCGTGCATCCTCAAGCTGTGGGGCTGTGCCATAAGCCTCTGTCACGTTGCTTGTGTGTTACCCATCCTTTCTGTAGCAGTAGTTTGGGAAGAGCTGCTGTGCTGCAGTTGGTGATGCTAATTGTTATTGCCTTCTGTTTTCTAATACGTTTTTGGTAGCTTCCAAGCAGCTTATCTCAGAAATATAAAATATCTTCACTGGTAAAGTTTTGGGAAGTGCAGGTTGGGAACAAACAGACCTTTTGCAGTTCTTGTGACTTTCCATGTAAGTATGTTGGAGCTGGAGGCAGCATGGCTTTGAGAAAGTGCAGTGCTGGTTCCTGGATTGCGTTTCTCGAGGCTGTCACACCTGCTACACCCAGACCGTCCCAAGACACTGCAGGGAACGCTCGGGTGAATGGCAGAGAATGTCACAGCTGTCACCACGTGGGGGTGGTGGTAAATTCAGTCGAGCAGTGCTGGTGTTTGTGCTGTAGTCGTGGAGCTCCACAGAGCCCTCCTGGCCTGCAGAGGTGTTGTGGTGCCATCTAATGTCGTAAGGCTTAAATACACCGCTCGTCCCACTCGTCCTTGCTTGGCTTAACTTAAATCTCAGACCCTTTTTTTTGTTAGCAAACTGATGGAAGCAGAGGCACCTGGTGATGCCTGAAGCCAGCCTGTGTGTGCTGGTGAGCCAGAACTCTGCTGTCCTCAAAGTCTGTCTGTTCGTGTGGCAGTAATCTGATCCTCTGTGCATCTGTAAGTGGAACAGCAGTAGAGATTTCCTTTGTGCAGGGTGAGATTCCGAGCTGCTGGGTCGTGCTCCTTTTTCCACAGAGAGCTGGGTCAGCATGGGCCACGCTGCTGCTGCTGGCTGTACTCCCTGCACTGATGAATTGATGGACAGCCCACTGGAAAACATGGCGAATTTCTCCTCATCTTTCTCCCTTTTTGCCTCGTCCCGGCCAGGTTTGAAAAAGGACGGATCTACACCTTCATTGGAGAAGTGGTGGTTTCCATGAACCCTTACAAGAACCTGAACATCTACGGGCGGGACACGATCGAGCAGTACAAGGGCCGGGAGCTCTACGAGAGGCCACCCCACCTCTTTGCCATCGCTGACGCCGCGTACAAAGCGATGAAGAGGAGGTCGAAGGACACCTGCATTGTGATATCAGGTGAGCTGAGAGCTCTTCCTTGCAGTGAGTGCTTACCTGACCCAAGAGCTGCTGTCGTAGAGTCACAGAACAGCTTGGGTTGGAGGGGACCTTCAAGACCAGCCAGTCCCACCCTCGTGCCATCAGCAGGTTTGCCAACCACTGGCTCAGCCTCGTTAGAGAATGTGTCACTAACATTGGTCACTGGATGATCTGTGCGTGCACGAGGTTGAGCGGTGAGAGGTGTCACCCTGGAGAAGTGCTGATCTCTGCCCCTCTGATGGCTGCTCGGTGCTTTGTTCTCTGTTCAAACTGTTTGTGCATTACAGTGCTGACAGCAGGGGTCTGTGCCATGAATGGTCGCTATCTGGATCCTGGCACTTGGTTTCTTTGATGTCCCCAGCTCTGAAAAGCTGAGATATGTGCTGAACAGTGGCCCCTTGTGCTGCATTTCCCAGCTCTGCTGCTGCCAGTCCTTCTCCTCTAACAATATTCCTTTTGATGCTCTGTGTGCCGACCTGGGAAACCTTACATCACAACTGCACAGCAGCAGCAGGCACAAATAAACTTGCTTTAACGAACAAAACCAAAAAGCCCCAGACATCATCATAGTAGGGATTGGGGTGCTGCTCAGTGATGTGCTTTGCATTTTCAATCTATTGTCCCTTTTCTGTGCCCTCAGGTGAAAGTGGGGCTGGGAAAACAGAGGCCAGCAAGTACATCATGCAGTACATTGCAGCCATCACCAACCCGGGGCAGAGGGCGGAGGTGGAAAGGTAAGGGCTCTGCAGAAAGGGACTTGGCTTTGTCCCTGGGTCTCTTTCTGTCTTACTGACAATCTCCTACTTGCGTGCTGATCTGGCAGCATTTTCTTCAGACACAACTTTTCTTCTGGCAGTTTTGTGATATTGATTGCTAACATCCCATAGAAAAGTGAGGAAGAACTCCAGTCTTTAAACTTTCAAAGTGAAACCAGCATCTCAAAATCACATTTCCAGTGGCAATTTGCTTGAAATATTTGAATGAGAATAGAACATTAAGCACTGGGGGCATTTCTGTGTCCTTTAGTGTTTGCATACTCCTGAACTGCAATGTGTCTGTCACTCCTAGAGTAAAGAAAATGGCTTTCTGCTGAAACAGACTGAGTACCTATTTTGAGTTCTTTTTGTCTCAGCTGTTGGCAAAAGAAGTCAAGAAATTACCTCCAAAACTTGTCTGTGTAAAGGAGCTGTGTTTTGGTTGCTGCTGTTTGCAGTGGGATCATTGGTTCCCCTTTGCTCAGCAGTACCAGGAGCTCCCAGCTGATTTCCTGTGCTGTTGCTGATGTTTTACACACCTGCCTGAATACAAAACTAAAGAGCATTGCTGCTGCTGCTCACATCTTCTCTATGAGTGCTTGCAAAAAAATGCCGTGGTTTGGGTACAGAACTCATCCTGTTCTCTTTTATCTGTACTAAAGAGTGAAGAACATCCTGCTGAAATCCAACTGTGTGTTGGAGGCCTTTGGCAACGCCAAAACGAACCGTAACGACAATTCCAGCCGCTTTGGGAAGTACATGGACATCAACTTCGACTTCAAAGGAGACCCAATCGGTGGCCACATCAACAATTACTTGCTAGAAAAGGTGAGCTCAGTTGTTGGCAGCGGTGTGTGCTTCAGAAGCACTGCTCTTTTTGATGAAAGCTTGTGGCTGCGCCTCACTGGTAGCATTCAGCATTGCCTCAGTGCAGCAGGAGGTTGGTTTGGAGGTGTTCTGCCTGTGCTCAGCTGATGCTTTGCTTCCAGTGGGGCAGTGCTCAGCATCCGGATGCAGAAATACCCACCTGCTGTTGTTCTCTCTCCCTGCAGTCTCGTGTGATCGTGCAGCAGCCGGGAGAGCGGAGCTTTCACTCCTTTTACCAGGTTGGCATCCATTTGGTTCCCAGACGTGGTAGGCAGATAGGTACAGCTTTCACACCCTGTGTGTTTCGCAGAGGGTTCCCCTGTTGCATCTTGGGTGATCCTATGTAGTGGTGTGAAGAGGGAAAGAGCATGGGAAGGTTTATTTTTTTCCACCTCCAGTCCCATACTGCTACATCTGCAAACTTGAGAGTAACCAGACAGGTGTGGCACAGCACTGGACTTTGGCTCACTGTGTTGTTTGTAATCCGCCTAACCCCTCTGTGTTCTCTCGAGGCCTTTACTTCATATGGAAGTAATTTTATGACACCAAGTTTGCTTTCTTTATTTCTTTGAGTTCTTTTTAATGTCTTCCACGTTGTACAGCGATTCCCTCGTGTGTCCTTTGGGGGAAGTGGTCAACCTATTACTGTAACCTTTATTCTCACATGGCATGTTTTTATGGTTTTGCTTGGCAAGCAGGTAAATAAGAAAAGGAACTTATCTATTAAAAAAAAAAAAAAAAGATAGATTTACTATGGAAAAAATGAAGGATTTTCTTTATTTTGATTCACCTTTTTGATTTGTATTCGATTTCCTTCAAACACAGCTCCTCCAGGGGGGGTCTGACCAGATGCTGCGCTCTCTACATCTGCAGAAGGACGCGTCTGCATACAGCTACATCTCTCCTGGAGCACAGCTCAAGGTGAGTGGCAGGAAACTTGTCCTAAAGTTGTAAACACTTCTTAAATGTTCTTAAATGTTTGAATCACTGCTGAGCTTGCAGAAGTGGAGAGCAGTGTTATGGAAAGGTGACACTGTTATGCTGTTTGTAGCAGAGCTCTGGACTTTGGAGATGACTGCTTATGAGCTTGTGCTCAGCGGTCTCTAGAGGTCCCTTCCAACCCCTACAACTCTCTGCACACTCCACACAGAAAAGTATTGGCCACAAACGTGCTGTCTGTGCTGAGCAGTGCTCACGAGGTCTGTGACTGCACTGCTTGTTCTGTGTTTTACGAGCAGCCTCTGCCCTTCCACTTTAAATTCCACTGGGAAAGCACTGGGCTATGCAGGTGTACAGCATGGCATTGGGATCAGTCAATCTCAGAGCAATTTTTTGCATCTGAAAAATTTTGAATTACCTTTCTGTTTGCTATGGGCTGCAGTCTTTGAATCATAGAACCATAGAATGGCCTGGGTTGAAGAGAACCACAATGATCACCTGGTTCCTATCCCCTGCTATGTGCAGGTCGCCAACCAGCAGCCCAGGCTGCCCAGAGCCACATCCAGCCTGGCCTTGGATGCCTGCAGGGATGGGGCATCCACAGCCTCCTTGGGCAACCTGTTCCAGTGCCTCACCACCCTCTGGCTGAAAAACTTCCTCCTCATATCCAACCTAAACCTCCCCTGTCTCACTTTAAAACCATTCCCCTTTGCTTTCTCAATTCATGTCCCAAAAATCTCCTTCCTGCAGTGTTCCATCAACGATGGTGCTGAGTTCAAGGCTGTTGCTGATGCCATGAAGGTGATAGGCTTCAAGCAAGAGGAGATTCAGACTGTCTACAAAATCGTGGCAGTCATTCTTCACTTGGTAAAGTTCTCTGCCCGCGGGTGTGAGGCTGCGGTTCAGAATCTTGGGACAAGGATTAAACTCCCCAAAGTCTTTGATGTGATTTCATTTCCACGAGTACAGCTGAGCTCTGAGCAGGGATTCTTTCCTATGGGTCAGGCCCTGTTGCTTCCACTGACGTGGAAGTGTGTGAGTGTGCAGGCCAACCCTTTTAATGTGGTGAGAGATTGTTGTGACTTGAATAGCAGATAAAAGATGGGGGGGCCTCTGTTTTATATTAACAAAAAATGATTGAGAAATCTAAATTTCTTGCTACTTCTTGCAGGGGAACTTGAAGTTTTCCGTGGATGGCGATACGCCCCTGATAGAGAACAGCAAGGTTGTGTCCATCATTGCAGACCTACTGTCAACAAAATCTGAGCTGGTGGAGAAGGCCCTTTTGTTCCGGACTGTCGCTACGGGCCGGGATGTCATCGACAAGCAGCACACTGAGCAAGAAGCCACCTATGGCAGAGATGCCTTTGCAAAAGTGAGTGGAGTTTCCTTTCTCTTCACCCGATTTCATGTAACAGTGGAACACTGCTTTTGGTTGAGGTGGATCAGAGTGGCCATGCCTATGGAAGACATTCACTATTGAGTTGTCTTTCATCACTGTGCGTTTTTGCAGTGCTGTATAGGGCTGAATATTTTGGGAAATAGGATTTTCGACTTCTTCAGCAATTAAATTTAATGGGCATAGGGTGGAGGAGTAAACTTTAGGACTCTGCATGGAAACAGAGTGCTGTCATTTGTGTTGGAAAGGTGAGAGACTGATAGCACAGGGAGTAACAATTGTCTTCCCTTTGCTAAGAAATGAGACGGTGTGGGTGTGGGATGGGTGGCGTTAGGAAGACCCTCGGTGGTTCTCAGTGTTGGTCTCCTGGCAGGCTATTTACGAGCGCCTCTTCTGTTGGATTGTGACACACATCAATGATGTGATTGAGGTGAAGAACTACGACACGACAGTGCATGGGAAGAACACGGTGATTGGCGTCCTGGATATCTATGGCTTTGAAATATTTGACAATAACAGGTGACGCATTGTTAGACACAGTGCTGTGCCTTCTCCTTTCCCACGTGAGAAAACTCACCTTTTTTCTTCTTTTTTTTCCCTGATTTTTTTGCAGTTTTGAACAATTTTGCATTAATTACTGCAACGAGAAGCTGCAGCAGCTCTTCATTCAGCTGGTTCTGAAGCAGGAGCAGGAGGAGTACCAGCGGGAGGGCATTCCCTGGAAGCATGTGAGTGATTTGGCAGGGGAGAGGTTGGTGGACCAGCACCAGGTCTAAGGTGGATCCTGGATAGGCTCCTCTTGAAGTCAGTAGGACACCCATGTCCACGCCAGTGGTGCTGTCTGGAAATCTGGCTGTGGGAAAAGCTTTCCCACGGATGGTGGGTCCAGTCCTCCAGGCAAATGGTGCTGTTCCATCAGTGGGTAACATGGGCACTCTCGTGCCAGCCAAATCACAGCTACCCCTCTTCTTTTGGCTTTTCCAGATCGATTACTTTAACAACCAGGTGATTGTGGACCTGGTGGAGCAGCAGCACAAAGGGATCATTGCCATCCTGGACGATGCCTGCATGAACGTTGGGAAGGTGACAGACGAGATGTTCCTGGAGGCTCTGAACAGCAAGCTGGGGAAGCACGCACATTTCTCCAGCAGGAAGGTACTTTGCAGCCTTCTGTTCCTCTGCGATGCCCTTTCTATTATTAAGGTATAACATAACAGACTGACGGTCAAATCATGAGCGTGAGGTATGAAATTGAATGCGGGGAGCAGCTCCCAGCTGCAGAAATAAGGCATCCCAGTGCACCCTGAGCGGCCTGCACCCAGCAGGGGGAGCTCGAGGATGTCCAATGCAGGATCGCCGTCGTTCGGATCATAAAAGCAGCTGCGGTTGTGCCTTGACATCTCATGATGTCATTAAGCACCAATGGAGGCACCGCTGCGGCTCACGTGGGATTCTTCCCAGGCTGCCGTAATACAGAGTGGCAGGGAATTATTCACACTTCTGCCTTATTGCAGCGCTGTGGGTTGTTGTTCCGTTGTCATTGGCTGCAAAATGTGCTCATCTCCACTTGTGCCTATGGTCTGCCAGGCTGCTCGGCTTGCTTTGTTTGCATTGTGAATTAAAGGGCTTTATTCCTCGCTTGGCAGCGTAATGAAAGCGTGCTCACCAGCCTGGTTCATCTGAGAATTGGCACTGAGTAATCAAATGTCATTTATTTATGAAGTGCATTTTAATATATTGATGTCTCTCTGCTGAGAATCGCTGTTGGAAATGCATTATTCAGGATGCTGCTCCCCCCCTCCTCCCTCCCACCCGTGTGTGGTGTTTTATGTAGGTCAGAAATACAGAATTAGCATGGTTGTATAAGAAATGTGCTAAAGGCTGCCTCCAGGGAGGCTGAGTGCACACAGTGGCTCTGGCTGTGCTTCGGTTCAGCCGAGGATGGGAAGAACAGAAAATAATCAGTTTTTCTTCCGGATGTGACTTTCCTGAGGTGCCCTTCATGAGTCCCTTCACAGTGCAGGAACATGAAATACATGCATGATGTGTGTGGATCCCACTGCAGCATTTCTCAGCGGGGGGGGAGCCTTGTCAGGAGTCTGTTTGCACTGAGCTGAAGGGAGAGGAGGAATGCTGCTATAAATAATGTTTATGGAGGACATGATGTATCTTCCTGGCTTGCTAATTTCTCATTTAAATCAATCGAGCCTTGGAAAAAATCGACCCGTAAAATTCTCAGCATCATAATTATTGCTCCCCCTCCCGTGTCTTTGTCCTTTAGGTTATTTAAGACATCTTCCTCGGTGAGCCCTTATCCCATACAGGAGGGCAGTGTGAAATCTGAGCTCTCCAAGCTGTCCTCTTCCAGTCTGTGTTGACACAAAGGACTTGATTTCACTTTCATGGGCTGCAGTAGTTCTGTCCAGGTACCAAGAAGCTCAGTGCAGGGCAGAGCTGCTCCTAAAGAGTTAAAGGCCGTGTGCTGCTATGCTATGGGAGCAGCTCCCATCTTGCAGCCTCAGTTAATGCCTCACTGCTCCCCTGCAGAGCGTGTTGCACACTGGCTCCGTGTGGATAAGCTCTAAGGGGCTGCTGTGCCCTAAATAGTAGTGTCCTAGTTTGCCTACTGCATGTCTGATCTGCTGTCTGCTTGGTTGTCCTGGTGAAAGCCAAACACGCCAGGAAAAGTCCCGGTAAATATTCCCACTGTGAATATTTGTGGCCAAAATTACATCCCTAAAGGAAGGGTCCTTCTCTGAATTGTCCAGTATTTCCAGCATGAGGAAAAATTCATTCTCAGAAAGGTTAGGGGTGGTGGTGGGGTCACCATCCCTGGGGGTGCTCAAGGAAGGGGAAAATGTCACACAGGTGATGGGGGTAATGGTGTGGTGGGGTGGGCTGGTGGTTGGATTTGGTGACATCAGTGGTCTTTCCAACCTTAGCAATTCTGTAATGCTTGCCTAGGTGTGTTTAGCTGTTGTGAACGTACTTCTCAACATCAAAGGTTCATTTTCTCAACATCTTTAAATCCTGATTTTTCTTTATTAAATTATGTTATAATTGCGTAGCGCTGAGTGCAGTGACAGTGTATGAATTCCAGAATCTTCTGTTAGAGGAAGGTGAGGAGTGGAAGTGATGTGTCAGCCTCAGCAAACTGGTTGTGAAGGTCAGGGTGTGAGAAGGTCCATTCTTGTCCTCTTGACTCTTCATCTTCCAAGGTACTGGGCAGCAGTGAAGGTTGAACAGAGAGAGCAGAGAGCTACAAAGACCAGGCCTGGAGCATCTCCCTTGCAGGGAAAGGCTGAAAGCCTGGGGTTGGAGTGGGGGGGCTGCAGTGATCCCTTCCAGCTCCTACAGCTCTGAGATGTGAAACACACACATAAGAATACTGCTCCCCATCTCCATCCATCTGCAGTCCTCCTACATGAAGGCTTTGGGTTCTTTTCAACGTGACAAGGAGTTCCACAGCCCACATACTCCTAGAATTTCCCAAAACTCCAAGGTTTGACTGTGCTGTTATCATTTCCCATCTCTCCAGCGCTTGTACTCCTTTCTCCACTCCTTCTCAGAAGCTTAAATACTCAAGGAAACCTGTAGGGCCCATAGGAACCCACAGTGCCCATAGGAATCCAAGAAGACCATCAGCTCTATCAGTGCTATTCAGTGCTATCCTATTTTTTTCCCAATAATTTCTGCTGATTTGCCCAGTATGTGTAAAGTTCATTAAAGCTCTTCTAATGAGTCCAGCATGGTGTTAAGTGCTTTCTGACATCTCCCATCTTGGCAAGCTTTCCCCAAGCAGCTTGCACAGCTGAGTGTATCCTGTTGGGGAGCAACAGTTGCTTCGTTCCATTCTGACTGTGCTCGTCCCACACCTCCTCTATCTGCTGCTTTGAGGTGTTTGTCCAAGGGTGACATTTTAATGTGTGGAATTTCTTGCAGCTTTGTGCGACTGACAAAACCCTGGAGTTCGACAGAGACTTCCGAATCAAGCACTATGCTGGAGATGTGATGTGAGTTTCTTTCAGTTGTGCCTTCTATCTCTGTCTTCAGCCAGCTTTGATGTGGCAGGATGCTCTGATTTAGTGCTGCTGGTGTGAAGCTGTCGTACAGAATTGCAGAGTGCAGCAGTTGCTTATCAGTTACATCTGAAGCTGTATAAAATATGAATTTGGAGCTGAAACAGAAGGAGAATGTGAACGGCAAAGCAACGCTTCAGGAAAAAGCAAAACCTACCACTGGTGATACAGAGAAGCTATAGAGAGCTAATCAAACCTCATTTAGACATCGGGTGGTGTGATTATACAACTCTCTGGCTTGGAATTCCCAAACCAATCTGACTCAGAAGGCAGGGCGGTGGTAAAGTAACCCAGCAGTGCAGGGAATCTGCCCCATGCAGGCTGGGAAGTGTTCTGTGCCTGAAATCTGCAGGATGGCTGCAGGTGTGACAGCAACGTGAGGGAGGATGGAGCAGAGGGGATGCACGTATGTTGGAAACCTTTCAGTTGGAGGCTGTTGTCTGCAGTGTCACTGAAATGATGTCGTGGTTTAGGATGGCAGGGCAGAAAGAGAGGAGTTAGTAAGGAAGTGATGCAGTTTTTTGGTTTATTGTTTTACCTTTTGCCTTAGGAGTAAATTTAACTTTGATTTATAAAGGTAACCAAGGTGGTTGTATTGGATGCCTTTCATTCTGGAGTCTTTGCTGAGTGGTTGCTGACAGACATTGCTGATTCCAAAGCAATTTGCCAAGGAGAAAAACGGTCCCAGGTTCTTTATTAGTGGCTGAGCTTCAGCACTACCAGTGGGGGGTGGGAAATTTCCTGAAGGAAAGCTGAAATGAGGAAATATTGAAGGCAGAAGTCAGGAGTGTAGCTCTTGAATATGGCATTAATGCTGTTTTCCTTTTTGCAGTTACTCAGTCTCTGGATTTATTGACAAAAACAAGGACACTTTATTTCAAGACTTCAAGCGCCTCATGTATAACAGGTAGGAATAAAACCATTAAGGAGATTAATTTAAGTCTGGTCTGTCCGAATCCCTTTCTGTAGAGCGGATGCTGGGAGAAGCTAACATTCAGCTGCACAGATTGCGTAGGCTTTGCTGGATCCCACCTCACTGTGCAGTCAGGGTTGCTGTGCAGAGATGAGCTCTGTGCCTTGGTCATTAACCAGGTGTGGATGTGCCAGTACTGATCTCTCTGCAGTGAGAGAGAAACTGAGCAGCGTTTGATCAGCAGCAGAGATGTTGGCCACAACTGGAAGCCCACGTTTTGAGAGATTTGGGGTGATGGGAAAAATGAGCAAATATATTGAGTAGTTTTCATATGTGCTGTGACATGACAAATTTAAACCACGCAGTCACTTGCTATAAATACTTATGAGGCGAGTGAAAGTTGCCTTTGACAAGAGATGCTATCGAAATCTGTATCTAAAGGTGCTCCACAAAGCTGTTCCAGTCTATTCCAGATCTCTTGCCATCCATCATGGCTGTTTCACCTCATCTTCCAGAAAACATCAGCTAAAATATATGAAATAATTCATATATGTATCAAGGGTGTCAATTGCAGAATCATAGAACCACCAAGGCTGGAAAAGACCTCTAAGATCATGCAGTCCAACCACCCACCTACCAGCAGTACTGCCCTCTAAGCCACGTCCCCCTTTACACAGAAATACAGCTTGAAATCAAACAGTGTGAGCCTGAGCCCTGTGTTGTCAAAAGCAAAAGAGATTTTGTTGCGTCGGTTTGACTTGGATGGCAAGGACATCTGGGCACACTGCTGAATGGTGAGCTGAATGAGCACTTAGGGCCCTTCTGTTGCACCGTGCAATTAAAGCCTTTTAGCTCTTTTAGCTTTAGCTTTGTCTTTTAGCTCTAATCCTGTGTTGAAGATGATGTGGCCCGAAGGTAAACTGAGCATCACAGAGGTCACCAAGCGACCTCTGACAGCTGCTACCCTCTTCAAGAACTCCATGATTGCACTGGTGGACAACCTGGCATCAAAGGTAAATGCTTCCATTGAAAACTGACTCTACTTGTGCTGAGCAGAGCTCATCTACAGAGTTGTCACCTCCCTGTCACTGCTGTCTGTCACAGAGCCAAGCTCATCAGTGGAGATGAGCTTTGATTGTGGCAGTGGGCAGCTGTGAGGAGCTCTGGGGATGGTTGTCAGCCATCCCTGCATAAAGGAGCTGGATTGTGGTTGTGTACCCTTCACTTGTAGTCGAGCCTCTCTCTTTGGGGGGTAATAATTATTGTGTCAGATAAATAACAAAGCTCTTCTGGCAGAGGGCCCAGAGGATGTAGTTTCACAGCGTGGAGATTTTTTTTGCTGTCTCTCAATGCCAGATATCTTCTTTGAAAATTCAGCGTGATTTCCTTCTTTTCTCTTTGTGTAAGACAGTGAGAAGTGAAACTTCTTATTTTTCTGAATAATTAAGCTTTTTAGCAGGAAGTATTGCTCTGGCAAGCACTGCTTTGTGTGAGGGTTGTGTTGTGTTCCATTGCTTTGCATTTCATTTGAAAGCAAGGTAAGGGCACGTTATCTCCTGTCTGAACAACAGGGAGGAAACCTGCATGGAGGGTCCTGAGCAATGCAAGAAATTGGTGGGGCTCTGGATGGGAGGGCTGCCCTCAAAGCATCGTGGTGGGACGTTTCTGCACATCCTCGTGGGAAAACTTCATTTATTTATTTGAAGAAATGAGACCAGGCCTTTGTGTTTGTAAGAGCAGAGCAATCAGGAGACTGCTTGGAACAACTCCTGCAACTCCCAGTGGGAGATGAAGAGCTGAAACAGCACGTTACCCATCCTGAGGCAGAATTCATCGTGGAAGGATGGCTGGTTGATGTGAAACAAGTAGTTTTGGTTGGTTTGTTGCCACAAATGGAAGTCTTCTCTGAGGATGGGGAATTGTTTCCAAGGCAGAGTTGGAGACTTAGGGACAAATATTCTCCTTCTATGTATACCTCCCCCACGTTTTCATTGAGGATTTGGGGTTAGGAGGTTGGACATTTCCCAATTTGCTGTTGAGCAATGCAGCTCGTAGAGTGGTGTATTACCCAGGGGGTTATGGATCCCACTAAAGGGAAGGCTGTCATTAAACAGACGTGTTAACGAGGGCTCCTGCCTAGCAGTCAGAAGCCAGGGGCTGTTGTGGCTGTGGCCAACCAGCACTATGGCACAGGGCTGGAGCAGAGGGGGTGAGCTTTGGGCTTCAGTCTTTGCTTTAAGGGCTGACACAGGCAGTGCTCCTGCAGGAGAGCATCCACAGGTCCTTCCCTTTGCACACTGGTTGTGCAGTTGGCACTGAGCTATTTGTGGATACCCTCACTGTGATGAATCTGGACCTCAGAATGGATCTCACTCCATGTTATCTTTGTTTTCACATCTGTGTTACTTTAAAGGCTCTGAATTTTGGTGTGCCCAGAAAAGCAGATGCAGCATAGGTAAAGGGCCTGAGGATGGACTTTGTGCTTCTTCCTTTGGATTGTGTCCCTTGAGAGCCCAGCAGTGCAGTTTCTGCAGTCCTGGGGCAGAACGGCAGGCCAAGAATTCATTGGTAGAATAAATTCTGTCAGCAGCATCAGCACTGTTGAAACCCATCGTTCAGGGGCTTCAGAGATGCCAAATCATTGAGCAGGAGCAGCAGGAATAGCAGAAACAAACTTTAAACTCTGCAAACGCTGGACCTCCAGTGGCAGCTGGGTGTTTGACTTGGACGGTTCTGCTTTGCTGGCGTCCTGCTGCAGCGTGGGGTTGTGAGGAGAAGCAGAGCTCTGTGCCTTCATGGGGCTGTGCTGCCCCAGCACGTTCCTCAGCACGGATTTATGGCCGTGCTGTTCTCCCGAGGCTCTGCTCTGTCTGGGAGGCTTGTTGGAGTGGCTTTTCTTTTTCTCCTAACTGCTGACTCTGGGAGCCCTGGGGCTGACATGGCTCTGAATGATGAGCTTCTTGAGGAGCTCTCTCTGGACATTCATCTTGTTTTTAATCCTTCTTATTTTCCTCCTTGCTTTTCCCCCTTTCCTCTTTGTTTTTCCCCTCTCTGTAATTCCTTTTGCCTGGTTTTTTTTTTACTCTATCTTTATCCCTTGTCCATCCCTCTCCAATCTGGTTTGACAGGCTTCATCTCCGTTAAGCCATAATGCCATCTCCATGACCAGTTGGGGATATCCAGCTCAAACTGCCCATTCTATGTCCTGTCCTTTCTCCCATCCACCGTGCTCTGAACTATGGAACAGAATTCTCCCAAGCAGGATCACAGTGCAAAAACACTTTAATATCTAAAAATCACTCTGCTTCATTAAAAAAAAAAATCAATTTTAGATAGACAACTGAGCAGCATTCAGAACTGGGGCCTTTGTGCCTCTGTATTTCAGTCTTCCATTTATAAAACGTGGCTCTGGGCTTGACAGCCTCCTGTGCAATAATGGGAGCTGCATAATTATCCCCCTGAAGAGCTGGGGCTGGTGGGATTGTGAGCGTGGAATAATCTCCTTTAGAATTTACCCTGCTAGCTGTCATTGCTGAGAGGCTTTAATTACACTGTAATTGTGCTGATAGATGATCTCCTGTCTGCGCAGGAACTTCCTATTCCTGTTTTCCAAAAGGAGAGCAGCATCTTGACTTCTGCCTTTTGTATCAGCTCACATGCAGTCACTCACTCCTCTTTGGAAGCCGTGAAGGGTAAATTTTTTTGCACGGGGGCTTTGAATGACAAAGAGATGAGTGACAGCCCAGGCAGAGCTGCAGCAGAGGGGTTCTGCAGTGATAACAAATAGCTGCGGACCAAATGCTGCGATGTCTGATGAAGGACTCACGCCGTTTCCCTGGAGGCAGAGATGTGTTTTGAGATCACAAATTGCGGGCTGCAGGTCCAGCAAACTCCTCCTCCTCCTCACTAATAGCTGCCGTGACTGCATGGAGCTTCTCTGTGGATTTGAAGTTCATCTGGGGCTGCTTCTGCCTTCGGTTTGACACGTGGCTGACAGCCAGATTCCCACGGCACAGCCGAGGAGAAGTTGTCACCCACACAGATTGCACGTCCTGAGAGCTGGTAGGAGTCTGCTGAAGGAATAAGGACCCCTGGAAACCTTGTTGCCTTCAGCAATTTGAGGAGAAAGCTTAAAAAGATGAAGAGTTTTAAGAGATTCATGCATTAAATTGTTCCGTCGCGTTGTGTTTTAGCACAACAAATAGAAGAGGATCAGGCTGTGTCAAATTGCTGCAGCAGAAGGAGGTGCACAGTGGAAGATCTCACACAGAACAGGGCTGTCCCTTGGCTGTCTGCTGGCACAGAATGGTTTGGGTTGGGAGGGACCTTCTGGGTCCTGGGGAGGCTGTGCTCTCAGCACTGCTTTGTTTGTTGAGGAATTGAAAAGAGGAGCCAAATGAAGACTGTGCTGGAGCCACACCATGGCTGGGTTGGAAGGGACCTCAGAGATTGTAGAACCATGGGATCATGGCACCATTGGGTTGGAAGGGACGTTAAAGATTGCAGAACCATGGAACTGTTAGGTTGGGTTGAGTAGGGTTGGGTTGGAAGGGAACTTAAGGATTGTAGAAACATGGAATCACAGCACGGTTGTGTTGAAGGGACCTCAAAGATCACAGAACCATGGAATCGTGGCATGGTTGGGTTGGAAGGGACTTTAAGGATTGTAGAACCATGGAATCACAGCTCTGTCGGGTTGGAATGGAAGTCACCCTCCCAATCCCTGCCAGGGGCTGTGTGCCCCCCTCCATCCATGGCTCTGGGCACAGTGAGGGATGGGCACCATCCCCAGCAGTGCCAGGGCCTCTTAATGCCTCGTCTCAGTGTTGGGGCTGTGGTGATTGATCCCATTCCCATCTGTTAGTGTGTGCAGCCTTCGTGTTCATGTCAGTCTGTGTGCCTCCATGTAGGGACTAGCTGGGTTATTTGGGGATGAGCCCAGTTCAGAATTGCTGAAAGGAAAATGGCAATTTGGGGCCTTTCATATTATCCTGAGTTTAGGACAGTGACCTGAAGTCACAGAAAATAGGATGAAGTCCTCAACAAATCACAGAAAATAGGACTGGAGGGGACCTTGGGAATGTGTGGAGTTCAGTCCTGACTGAGGGCAGCTCTGCTCCCCTTCCCTGTGCAGATGTGTGCAGTCTGCTCCTCTCCCCCAGTGGGCTTCCTCCTCTCCACAGGCATTCTGCTCCCATGCTTGTTCTGCTGCTGTTCAACTTGAGCAGTTCTGATTGTCCTAAAGCCTTCTTTGTCCCGAACCAGAATTGCTGCATCTCTTTGTGTTCACCCTTCAGGTACAGTAAGGATGGAAGATATGTGAGGTGCCACCACCAGCATGCTTTCGTGGCTCAGCCCTTCTGAACTGATACAGCATTTCCTCTGGGTCACATTTTCTGGGTTTTCAGCCTTTCTGGTTCTTCTCTAAACTCGCTGATCTCCATTTGCATTCTGTTTGACCTTGAAAAATAAAAGACCATGAGGTTATAAGGAACAGGTTTACCTTTAAGAAGTCAGGTTTGGAGCCTTTGTGAGGCGTGCTGCTCTCCCTGCTGGGAGCATGGCAAGGGCTGACGATGGAGAGAAAGAAATGAATCAACCTCGGACCCCAGCGTGGTGAAAGCAGATTGGTTCTGAAGAATGACAGCCGCTGTTTGCCAGCTGCATAGCCTTTCTCTTTGCTCTGTCCCATCAGGAGCCCTACTACGTCCGCTGCATTAAGCCCAACGACAAGAAGTCCCCCCAGCTGTTTGACGAGGAGCGCTGCAGGCACCAGGTGGAGTACCTGGGATTGCTGGAGAACGTCAGGGTGCGAAGGGCAGGCTTTGCCTATCGCCAGACCTACCCGAAGTTCCTTCACAGGTAGGAGGGCAGCTGTGCTCTCAGGTCCATCCTCGGTGCTCGGGCTCCCCTTCTTCGTGCTGAACTCTTTGCTGCGTTATTCTCTCCATGAGGAAGGTGAATGAGGTTCTTCCCCAGAGCATAACCCAAAAAACAGAGCTAATGAACTGCTGTTTTCTCTCTGCATATTGTCTGATGGCTGTGGTGAGAGGGACGGGCGGATGCTGTGTCAGGGGAAGTGCTCAGTCATGGGACTGTGGAACTGTTGGTAGGGGCCGTTAAGGGCCGTCTGTCCCAATACCTGCAGTCAGTGAGGCACTCACAGCTCTACCAGCGCTCAGAGCCCTTCCAGCTGAGCTGAGCATCCCCTGGGATGAGGCACCCATTGCCTCCCTGGGCTGCCTGTCCCGGAGCCTCCCTGCCCTCATTATACCTGATCTGCATCTCATTATACCCGATCTGCATCTCCCCTCTTTTGGTTTGAAACCATTTCCCCGTGTCTGTCAGTGGTGTGCAGTGATGCTGCATGTACACGAGGAAACCTCTGGGCTTACAGAGTGGAAGTGTGGAGAAGGGATAATAGCGTGACCTCATTAAAGCATCTTTCTGATATCCTTTGCCCTCGTTACTCCTACCAGATTTGTGACAAATTGAACATTTTAGATTGTAATTTGTCTTGCAGCTTCAGTAAATTAGCACAGATACCGAGGATTCATCCTCTTCAGATACTGAATTGGTTTTAACCTCCGTTATTGAATTATATGAGGGAAAGTCCCTGAGGACAGGAAAAAAAGCCCGAACTAAGCAGGTGGGATGTGCCACGTCAGAACCAAAGTGCCATGAGAGATGGCAGTGGAGATTTGCCTGGGTGTTCCATGATACCCGAGGCAGAACAGGAGGTGAGGCTTATCACACAGCCTGCAGCCCTGTGTATCTGTTCTGCTGAACGTTACGCAGAGGTTAGCGCTCACATCTGCCTTCACACGTGGAATTCGTTCCTTAAGACTTGTGTAATTACTATTAATATAAACAGCTGCTTTCTTTGTAATGAATATTTGATGAGCTCCTGTAAGCTTAAAGCCAGAAGTGCTGTTTGCAGCCAGCCAACCAAATTAGCATGTGGCAAGTGGTGGAGCTTTGAGGTGCTGCAGTGTTTGTTGTGCCGAAGCCTGCGGTCGGATTCAGCATCTAAAGGATAAGATAGCACATGCTGCATTTGCATACCATAGAGGTGCTCCCAGTGCTGCCTGCACTGAATCTTCTCAACTTGCCCCTCTTAAAAGGGTAAGGGGTGCAATCTGTGGTGTGAGCTGCACACTCAGGGGCGCTTATTGAAGGGGGATTGCAAGGGATCACAATAAATAAATAGTGTAAATAAAGTAACTCTCCATAAGGACAGAGGTGGTGCTGTTCATCCCTAAAGTACCCCGAGGGTGTCGGTATTCCTGTCTGCCACATAAAACAGTGCTGAGGGGCTTTGGGAAGGGCTGCCCGGGGGAATGGAGGAGCGGCGCCCGCGAGGCATCTGCGGCTGTAACCCAGCCCTGCCCCACAAAGGCATCCACAGCCTATTTTCGGGCAGTGTTACGCAGCATGGAAACAACACCGAGATCCCATCTGCTCTGCACTGAGTGCTCCCTCGATAAGTTTGCAGATGACACCGAGCTGGGAGGAGGTGTCAGCCTGCCTGAGGGTAGGAAGGCCCTACAGAGGGATCTGCACCCAGGCTAATGGGGTGAGCTTCAACAAGACCAAGTGCCAGGTCCTGAGCTTCAGCCACAGCAACCCCAGGCAATGTTACAGACCTGGGGCACTGTGAGAGCTGATGGGCTCAAGTTGTGGCAGGGGAGGTTCAGGTTGGATACTGAGAACACTTGTTCTCTGGAAGAGTGGTGATGCAGTGACACAGGCTGCTCAGGGAGGTGGTGGAGTCACTGTCCCCAGAGGTGCTCCAGAGCCATGGAGATGTGACACTTAGGGGTGGTGGGCATGGCAGGGATGGGTTGGATTGGGGATCTTAGAGAGCTTTCTAACTTTAATGATTCTGTGATTCTTTGACTCTGTGAGTGGGGATGGCTTCACGGTCGGACTGGATGACCTTAGTGGGTTTCCCAACCTCAGTGTGTCAGAGTGACCTTCCAAGCTGCCACCATCCTTAGGCAAAAGGAGAGGGGAAGGGCTGTGGTGTCACTGAGCAGATTTACGTTGGCTCCTGCCTTGCTGTAATTAGTGGCGAGGTCAGGATTTGGCTGTGCTGCAACATCCTGCTCACATTTCAGCTCTCCAACATCTCTCCCTACTTTTTTCTGGGCCCTGTTTTGTAAAGTATGCATTTGCAGTGCTGTCCCAATCCTTCTGTTTCCCTTCTTTAAGTGTCCTAAGGTGGAAGGTTTTCCTATTGAATTAATCACTGCAGGAACATTTTCCTGATGGGAACAGGAAAGAGAAACCAGCTTAAAATATTTATGTCCTACGTGTATTTGTGTCACGGGTTTTTAAATAGAGAGGTGGTTAAGGCTGTTGCATGAGTGTTTTATTTGGAACATGAATGTGGTAATATAGCAGCTGAAACATCAGTTGTGTTTGTGTGTCCATAAATGATATGTGGACAGTCCAGTGTTCTCTTTGCAGATCTCTGTTGATGGAGCTCAGTGCTGCGGCTCGTTGTGTTGCATCAGTTCTGTGCTGATGAACTGAGCTCCTCGCAATGCTTGTTCTTTTCAGTGGCTTAAAATCACACCTCTTACGTTCCCTTTCTGTTCAGTTTTGGGGATCACATCTCCTATGCAAACTATCTCATCTGCTACATGTAATCAGTTGTATTTCAATTTAGATGGTAATTATGTCTAAAAGATATTGAAGGTTGGTCTTCTGGAGAGCACAGAGGACAAGTGTGCATTTAGAAATTGTGATTCCAGGTACAAGATGATCTCAGAATTCACCTGGCCAAACCATGACCTCCCTTCAGACAAAGATGCTGTGAAGAAGCTCATTGAGTGTCACGGATTTCAGCACGATGTTGCCTATGGGAAGACCAAAATCTTCATCCGCACACCACGAACGCTGTTCACCTTGGAGGAGCTCCATGCCAAGATGCTCGTGAGGATTGTGCTCTTCCTACAGAAGGTAAAGCATCACTTTGCTGCATCAAAAAGCTCAGTTCACGATCCTTAAAGCACCTTTTCTCAAACTCCCTGTTGTTTTTTCTTGCTTCTTCACCATGTTGCTGTTGACTGAGCACAAAACGTTTGAGGTGAGTCTTAGAACATAGTACCTGTTGCTGAGTCCTCTAAGGTAAATAAAACAGGCAGCCACGGGATAGAAAATGAGGGGAAAGGAAGGAGTGATTTGTGTGTTGGTGGCAACTTCTTTCCATGGGAACTCACTGCAACAGCAGTATTGGGGTTGTCAGGAGCAAACATCACGAGACACAAGGATTACATCACACGAAGAAGGAAAATGTTGCTGTGGGGCTCTGGAAGTGCTGCCCAGCAGTTGGGTGGAAGGCTGACAGAGTGGAGGTCATCTGCAGAGCTGCTGATAGAAAGCCCTTAGAATTACAAGGTGTGACCCCAAAGTGCTGTGCAGAGGACACCTGCATGTTCTTCCCCTTCTGAATACGAGATTTGACCTCCAGCTCTTTTTGATTTTACCCTCCAGATAAATAATTTTACATTCTGCAACTTGGGTGCAAAGGCATTTTCAGGTTTTCTTATGAAAATACTCTTCTAAGCAATGGGACTTGGCAAAGTCCTGAATCATTTGGGTTTAGGGGCAACTGTACAACAGAAGCTGGCTCGCAACCTCAGGAGCAATATAGTATGACAGAATTGTTGGAGTTGGAAACGGCCCCAAAAGGTCATCTAGTCCAACTCCCTGCAGTGAACATTCACCAGAGGAGACAAAATACAAGAGCTGGTTCAAAAACTGTGCTCTGTGCCCAATATCTTGTTGTGTTAACGACGTGCTGGACCCGATTTCCCTTCTGGAAGTCAGAATGACCAGCATGGAAGGAGACAATTGGAAGTCCAGGTTGCATCTGCATTTGTGTGGGTTGGGTGTTGGGCTGAAGTTGATAGCTATGGAACTGTGTAAGATGGAAGATGACTCCTTCCTGCCGTTTTTGGTATTTCTCTTGTTTTACTGTTGGATTTCATTCTGTGCTCTGAATCCAGTCCTTGTTACCAGCTGTGCTCTGCTGCCAGTAGATGGGGCAGTCACAGACCAGCAGTGCTGCAGAAAGAGCAGTCAGCACAATAAAAATAAAATCTCAGTCTGAGGATCTAAAGAGGCTCTGAAAACGTTGGCAATATTGCCTGTATCTAATTTTTTTTTTGTTTTCAACTTGCTTTCAATTGTTAAAAATGCACACAAAAATGTAATTCTTGCTCCTTTTCCCAACTAATTTTGCCTGTAAGCATGCAAGGCTGAGCTGGGCCAGGGGGGCAGTGTGAGGTGCAGTCTGTCTCAGGTTGGGTCCAGTAACATTTTTCTTTGAGAAATTTTAAATGAAAGAAGAATCTGCTGATAGCAATTCCATTTCTCGCTTATTTTAAATGTACATCTTCATTTCTAATTATATATATTACATAATTTATTGCTCCCAAGGCTTTCAGAAAAAGATTCTGTGATTATCTTAGCAGCTTCATCATGTGAGTAACCCTTAATCCTTAAAATAATGCCGCTTCCTTTGTTTGATAATGATAAGAATTTGCTTCTGTGGTTGTTTTTCTGCTCTTGGAAACGTTCCCGTATATTCATGAGCTTTGTAGAGGAGCGCTTTGTTCAAGAAAACAGCTCAGCACGTGCAGCATGCAAAGCGATGCATCTTGTCAATATAATTTAGTGCACTATTTCAGTGCAATTTTATCAGACCGGTGCAGCTGCATATGGTAATCACTTCCCTAAATCTTCATGCTCAGCGCAGAGGAAGAGAGGATTGCTCTCGTCACCCAGCACCTACTGGGATGTGGGTTCATTGTGTGCAAGACTCCAGCAGCAGGAGGAGAACGTGGCTGCCATGGGGACCCGCTGGGGTCCTGTTGGGAACCATTAAGGACCCACTGGGGGACCTGCTGGGGTCCTGGTGGGAACCCGCTGGGGACCCGTTGGGATGTGCTGGGGTCCTGCTGTGAACCCATTGAGGACCTGCTGGGGTCCTGTTGGGAACCCACTGAGGACCCATTGAGGATCTGCCATGAACATCCTTGCCATCACCGTGGCAGAGCTCTGCCTGATGGGGAGCAGCAGGAGGGAGCTGTGACTGATTTGTAATTCAGAGTTCCCCCCTCCCCTTCTTTACAGCACAGCGTACTTCAGGTGAGCATCTGTGCTGGCAGGAAGGAGGTCAGGGACGTGGCAGAGGGCAGGGCTCCCACCCTGCAGGTGCAGTGGGGCACCTGAATGCTTGCTTATTGTCTTTCCTCCCCCAGACATGCTGTGAAAACATTTCTTTAACCGAAGTAGATATAAATATCCATTCATTGTTGGGTAAAGGAGGAGAAGAGAGGATCAGGGTCACCCAAAGTGAGGTAAAGATGCCCAATTTCTGTGCGTATCTCCTTCCCTCATAGGATGCTGCAGTGTAAATGGCTGATGGTGATGAGCTTTTCCCATGGGTTATGGGGGTTATGGGGCTTTGGGGCAAAACCAAACGTCTGGTGATGGAGCTGCGTTTATCAGTGTGTTTCTGGGACTGTTTTTCTCTTTCACCACAATTAACGCTGTCCTCCCTCGCATGCTTTAATGGCATTCCTCTCCTCTGAACAAAGGTAAGCAGAATTTGCCAGTTTCGGGAAGCTTTCAGGCAGAGCAGCAGTGAGTGGCAGGAAAAATCCAGCCATCTCTTCTCCCCATCCATCATCCCATCTCTGCGCACGTCCCACATGTGCCCCTTGCTTATAACACTGTCCCTTTGCTATTTTTTATATTTATTGTTGGGCACAGCCTTCTCAGTGCAATCTAATTAATCCGAGGGTGACCCCTCTCTGCTCCACCTGGTGGGACGTTGTTTCTATTAAGCAAAGCAATGGAATGAGCGTTGTTCAGCTGACTCATGTGAAAAGAGAAAATAGCATTTAGTAAATGAAGCAGCTCTTCCCACTCGCTGCTTGTGTGTGCTGCAGTGGGATCTGTGGGAACCAGGAGGCTCTGATTTTAAAAACATTACATTCCTCTGGTGGGATCTGAACTTGGTTGTGCTGTGAAATGCAGACCCAAGGCAGGGTGGGCGCTGGGTGTGAATGCTGGCCATTCCATCGTGCCTCCATCACCTCACCCGCTGCCCCCGCTCTGCCAGGAGCTGACCCTTCCAAAGGCAATCAGGAATGGCAATAATTAAAGCTCGCTGCTGGTTTGCAGTGCCTCAGAACTGCGCGCGGGTTGACTTAAATATTTCATAACCTTTCCTGTTTGAGGTCCTTTAAAGCCGTGCAGAAGGGTTCATGGCTCCCTGAGTTCCTAGCTGGGTTTTATCTTTTTCAGTTTGGATGCCTGGAGGGCAGCATGAAATATTGATCACAAAGCAGTGGGAGGAGGTGTGCTGTGCTACAGCAAGCATGAAATGCTTGGCCAAGGCTGAGTTAGTTGCAGTGCTGCTCCAAAGTACAACATGGTGTTTAATTCAGATGAGCTAAGTTGATGTTCTTCAGTTCCAGTAGCTTTATTTAATCTTAGGAATCTTTGCTAGGAGCTCAACGAGTTTATAATCTGCTTTAAATCATATGTAATCATTTGAATTTCAGCTTATTAATTTTTCCTCAAAGCCACGTGAGTTAAACATCCTTCAGGAAAAGATTTCAGCGCTTCCCTTAAGATAAGGTCTGACTTTTGGTGTGGGTGAGTGTCCCATTTCTTTTTCATAGGATCACGGGGTGGCTTAGGTTGGAGGGGACCTTGAAGTCATCCAGTTCCAATCCCAGTGCCATGGGCAGGGTTGCCAACCACCAGATACCCACTTTTTGTGCAAGTCCTGGTTTCCAAAGCCTTCTCTCCATCCATCAGCTTTCTCTCCATCCATCCTCAGTCTTAATTTCTTAATTTCCCTGTTAGCCTGTCATCGCCTGACCGAAGCGTGGAGAAGGCAGAGGTGATTGAAGGGATGCTGAGAAGTGGATGGGTGAAGGTTGGGAGGTGAAGCTCAGGTGCTCCATTTCCTTCCATTTTGGTGCCAACACGTGCTGATCATTATTCCATTCCTATACCCAACCTCTGCCCTGTCTCCTTGGGCAGCCCTTCCTGTAAGGGACATCTCTTTCACAGTGTCCTGCATCGAGTCTTTTGCTCTCACTTGGTCACAGAATCCTAGAATAGCTGGGTTGAAAGGGACCTCATTGAGCTCCAGCCCATCTGCCACAGGCTGGTTGTGCCCCACTAAACCAGCTTGCCCAGGGCTCCGTCCAACCTGGCCTTGGTCATTAGGTGCCGCAGTAATTGACAACAAAGTTGATTGCTTTTGAGTCTGCTTTTCAGTTTGTCACTTGAAAACTCAGCATCCCACAGGGTTTTCATGAGCCTCCCATGGGTTTGTCCCATGCTGCTGACATTCCACAATGATGACAGCCACAGCTTTACTCCCGTGACCACGACCTTCCACCCTCCTCAAATCCTGCACTGCTTCCCTAGTGCCCTGTGTGCACCTCAGCATCCTCATCCCCCTGAAACACTGCCAGGTCCTTCTACCTGTTGGCTTAGGACACAGCATCGTGGGGCTGTGCTTGGCTAGGAGCTTGGTTTGAGATTTGGAGGTGAGACAAAGCAGATGGTCTTGAACTCCTTCCAGCAATGTCACTGATTTGAGCCCCTGCCATCGATGCCTCCTGTTAGACCTTGCCTCTTCGGGTCCTCTCTTCCTTTGTCAGGTTTGGCTGAAGCTGGATGCAGAGTCAGAAGATAAAGCAATCAGTGTCAGCCTGGGACAATTATAAACTTGTCTCTGCAAAAATGTACTGTAAACTTAGCAAACAAATACAGTGCTTGTGAGTTGGGTTTCTCGTTACTTTTGGAACGAGCTGCCACTGTGGCTATTAGGAAGGCCCTCACCAGCAGTGAGGTTACCCAGTGCTGACAGCTTGATTGCAGGACGTGTTTTTCATTAAGAGCTGACTGTGTGCAGCCAAGGGACATGCCTGGGCTGGATAATTGGGTTTGGAAGGCTGGTTGGTGGCGTTGTGACACTTCTTGCTGCGAAGCCAATTTCTGCAGCGCTGCAGCTGATACAACATCAGGGCAATCTGTTACTGTGCCTTTGTTCCACCCGTCTGAAAAATAACCACTGCCAGAGAGGCTTTCCTCAGGAACGCGTCTGCTCCAGCACAGGGGAGTGGAATTAAGACCTTGTTCTGTATCCAAAACGATTCAAAATGTGTGAATGTTTTCTTGTGATGGTTATGAAGCCAGAAGGCTGCTTCGCCTCTGGACCCCTCGTTCCTCATTTCTGTTCTTTTGAAATTAACAAGTGGGAAGTTGGTAGTAGGTTTTATTTTATCTCGTCATCTGGTTTGCTGCTGACGTGCTGTTTGCAGGTATGTTTTGTGCCAGCTTGTTCTATGCAGGCGATGCTGCCTTCCCCCAGTCTGCCCAGTGCTTCCAAGTGCAATTAAGGAAATGTTAGATATCATTTTCCTGTGGCTCTGAATGCATATGATGTTTAGATTTGCAGTTCCGATCCACTGTTCCTTGCTGATCTCCCTTTGTCTCACTGCCAGTTTTGTTTGGCTGCACAACACTCTGCTGCTGTATTGCTGTTGTTACAGTGATTTCTGCACTTCTTGCTCTTGCTTTTTCCCAGTTTGGCCTCCACCATGTTCTGCTGAATGGATGGTGTGTGTGGTGATCTCGTGCTGCATCAAGGACTGCTTTCTATCTTGGGGTAAAGTTGCACGCGTGCAGTTTAGCATGCTGACATGCAAGCGAAGGGTGGATTGGCTTGGTGTTACCATGGGATGCTTGGGCAGTGCTACGTGGCTCTGGGTCTGTTTTGGAGGGGCAGAAAGCTGCAGGAGTACGAAGAGGGGCTACTCTGACAGAGGGTGGAAGGAGGAGCTCTTTGCTCCTTCCTCTTTGAATGTTTAGTGTATAGAGAAGAGCTTCACATCTGCTCTGCCTCTTCTACGTATGGCTGTTCTCAGCCTCACACCCGGGTCATCAGTAAGGCTGTCAAGAGAACCTTTGACATCAGCTTCATCAAGAGTACACTGTGTAGGAGATCGCCCTGGGTAATTAATTAATTCTTCTGTAAATAGAAGGCTTGATGTGCTTCAATGGAGCTCTGGGATGTTTCTCACGAGAGACGTCAACTCCCAGCAGGGCCTGCAGCGAGTGGCGATGCACTCGTTCTGTGCGAGAGGCTCATTGTCCCTCAGTTTAATTCTGCGAGGAAGCACAAATGCAATCTTCATGCTGATGGATGGTATTGGAGGGAAAGTACAGCTGTTCCCCAGCTCAGGGAGCCGTCGCGAGTTGTCTGTTGTCATAAGTCAACATTGCACGTCATCGTGTGTCACGAAGTGCTGTCATCCGTTGTCACGGGTCACTGTCCAATGTCCTGATGTGTTGTTGTCCGTCGTCCTGAGTCAACTTCACATGTTGTCGTCATGTCGTGACGTGTCATTGCCCGTTGTGAGTTGTGGATGTGTGTCGTCATGTCGTGATGTGTCATTGCCCATTATGAGTTGTGGATGTGTGTCATCATGTCGTGACGTGTCATTGCCCGTTGTGAGTTGTGGATGTGTGTCATCATGTTGTGACGTGTCATTGCCCGTTGTGAGTTGTGGATGTGTGTCGTCATGTCGTGACGTGTCACTGTCACTGTGAGTGGATATCGCATGCCATCGTGTGTCGTGACGTGTTGTTATGTGTCACCAAATGTCGTGACGTGTCATTGTCCATCATACCACGTCACACAGTGCCAGGAGCAGCTCAACCCACCCGTGTTTTTCTAATTGAATCCTACTGGCATGCCAAGATCTCATTCTTTACAACTCGTGACTGCTGTATGTAAGGATTCAGGAGAATAAAGAGGCAGCTGTTTCCTTCTTTTCTGTCTGAAGCTGCCCTCTGTCCTGTCTGCGGCTCTTAGGTCTGGAGGGGCACCTTGGCTCGGCTCCGCTACAAGAGGACGAGGGCTGCCCTCACGATCCTCAGGCACTACCGCCGCTACAAGGTGAAGTCCTACATCCACGAGGTCGCCCAGCGCTTCCGCAGCGTCCGATCCATGAAGGATTATGGCAGGCATGTGCAATGGCCCGCCCCGCCCAAAGTGCTGCACCGATTCGAAGAGGCGCTCCAGGCGATCTACCATAGGTAGAAATTAAAAAATGGCTCTCTTTGGTCTGAGCAAGGACTGGACAGTTCCTGCCTGCTCCAGAAAATTCGGGGAAATGACTGGAGAACATTAACTGGGCAGCAGATATGAAGATATTAGAGTCACAGAACAGTTATGGTTGGAAAAGACCACCGAGATCACCAAGTCCAACCCCAGGGGTTCCTGTACCCCTGACCAGGCAAATAATTGTCCTATTTCAGAGATTTAGTCACGATGGACATCACACTTCCTTACTTAGCCCCAATTAAGACTTCCTAATCAATTTTGAAAGAAAAGAGCAGCTGGTGGTAGGCAGAGGGAGAGAGAAAAATGAATCTTTTTGAGTCCCTTGAGACTTTTATAGTAAGTCAATACTACTTTGAAATAAATTAAGCAACATACCCCTATCCACTGCATGCAGTGTGTGGAAGAGTTGTTCTATACGTTCATTACAACCCCCTTAATGCCCAAAAGCCAGTGACTTTTTTCTTTGGCAAGTCTTGTTATTATAGACAAGAGGGGTGTAAAGAGCTTTGATTCCAGTTTGAAAAATGATATCTTCTGAAAGTTATGAACAAAGGAAATATGGGCTGGAGCAGGCCTCTAGGGATCTGTAGAGCCATCTGCTCGAAGCAGAATACCACCAGCACTAGAGCAGGTTGGCCTTGTTTTTCTTCCCAGCTGTCTCTTGAATGCTATCCATGACCTCTTGGGTAGTGTCCTGCTTTCTGAATTAGCTCAATTATCATAATCACAAATTTTAGTCAGTCAAGACTTTTTACAGCACTGGTCTTACAGAGCCAACTGCTGAAGGCGGTAAAGTAATGAATGGTCTGGTCTGTCCTCTTCCATGTTACAGTTGGTTAGATTTCAGTTGTAGGACCAAATTTTGCTGTAGAAAGGGAATGGTGTTTTAAATGAGCCAAAAAATGGGCTTGCAAAAACCTTATTGCCAACAGATGTGCTATCAGTTTACTTCTGGGCACCAGAGGGATGTGGGGAAGCGTACCAGCCAAATTTGATAGGAGTTAAAGGTGATATGTCATGTAAGCTGGAAACTTCAGGGCACTTGGTAGAGATGTGAGCCTGACTTGAGCTTTATATGGCAGGTGGAGAGCAGGGGAACTCATCCGGAGCATCCCACCAAAGGACCTACCTCAGCTGCGGGCCAAGGTTGCTGCCATGGAGGTGCTGAAGGGTCACCGAGCAGATCTGGGGCTGCAGAGAGCGTGGGAGGGGGATTACATCGCACTGGTGAGTGCACATGGAGCAACCAGTGGAGGTCAGAGGGGTCTGGGGCTCAGGACACTAAAAGGATGGAAATTTGGGAACATGGCCATTGGTTTCTTGGAAGGGGGAGCACTACAAGTTAATCTTCCAGAATATACTGAGCCTGGTTTGAGTGAGCATCCCAAACAGCATTAAAGGATGGCGAGCAACGCCATCAGCTGGCTCATCAGATGGCCAGACCTGGGAGGGAGGTTGGTGTAAAGCTGAAATCCTGGCTGCAATGGGATGCTAAAAACAGCACTAAATGGAAAGGAACAAAGACATTATCTCGAGGCAACTTGCAATACTTTCTATTCTGTCCTTCCTCCAAGCGTTTTGTTTTGTTAAGGCTCCCTCTGAAAGCACGTAAAACTCTGCTGCTCTCCAGAGGGATGGGAGGAAGCCTTCCGATGAGGTGTGCAGCTGCATTCTGCCCTTCGTCGTGCAATTACTGTCCTTATGAGCACGAAGAATGACCTGCCTGTCTTTGCTCTTCCAGAGACCAGATCACCCCCAGAGCACGGGCGCCTTCCTCCCTGTTGCCACCGAGCTGAAACGGAAAGACAAATACATGAATGTTCTCTTCTCATGTCACGTCCGCAAGGTGAGTTGGGTGGGGATGCTTTGGGGCTGGGGTGGCACTCTGTGATGGCAGTGGGGGGATGGTAATACTGGAGATGCCTCTACAGATGGCCCTCCTACGTCGTCCCGTGTTAATTGACTGAGTTGTTAATTGACTGATTTTTGGTGGATCCGTAGCTCAGAACCCATTGCACCAAAGGGAGCTTTGAGGAATGAATCAAGTCACTTGATTCTGTGTAGCTGGCTTGGATCTCAGAGCAGAATTCTGCTTCTTTGGCAGGAAAGCTGTAAAAACCAATCAGAAAAAAGCATACTTGGGTATTTGTGTGTGTGTGTAGTGCTGCTGTGATCTACAGAGTTCTGCTAGGATCTGCTGTGGTGGTTTCTGACGGTGCTGTTTGAGAGCGTCCACCAGGGGAGAATATTCTGAATGTTATGAACCCATCAGACAAAAACATTTCGATGGCCAGCGATGGTGCAGTGTTCCCAAGGAGCCACGTATCTGCGTGCTCGTTTTGTGCACAGAGGGCTGGTCTCCCCTTGCCAGACGTGTGTTGATGATTCTCAAATACATTCAATGGCAATAGCAGTCATTTTGCAGTGAGAAAAGCCACTTTGTAATGAAACGTCTTTCCTCGTGGCAATGATATTTGTACAAGAGAAAGTGATTTCTGTACATAATAACAGAAATCTCTTACTGCTTTCTGCTGTTTCAGAGGAGGAACCCATTGCTTTCAACACTCTCTTCTTGAAAGTTGCTAATTAAATGAGTGGTTTGAGTGAGTACTGGGTTGTACTGCCAGGACTGGGAGAGTCTCAGACCTCATCTGTACAATCTTGGAAGCACTTTGTGTAGAATCTGATGGAGATACTGAAGAATTTCACCTTAGATTTTTGTTTGGGCTGAAAACAAAGCAATTCCCATTGCAATGGGTTTAATAAACCAGATCAAATGATCGCCGTTTCCACTTAAAACTGGAATAACTGTAAAAATACAATATTCAGTTCTTAACAGTGTGATAGTTATTTTTAATAGGAAAAAAATGGTCGTTTTTAATAGGGGGTGAAGTGATGGTGAGGGGAATTGCTCAGCATGTACATAATACATGCAAACCCACTGTGGGAGTGTAATGCTGCTCGCTGTTATGCAACGCTTAAGCTTTTAAGTACTTACGTTTTTCTCACTTCTGAGTCAGCTTTAAAGGACAGCCTCCTGCATGGGGACAGGTGAAAGCAGGTTTCTGACACGCAGATCCTTACCTCCTTCTTTTCAGTGGTTGCAGCACAGCTCTGGGCGCCCGCTCCTGGCAGTGCCCTCATGTGTGACACTGTGGTTTCGTTCCTAGGGATCTGCCTTAGAGAAAATAGAAGTGTTCAGTGACAGTGCGGCGCTGTAGGGAAGCGTTGGCCTTGAAGAAACTAGTAGGAGCATCTCTTCCTTCTGAGGGACGTGGTTGGTGGGGATGGTGGGATGGTGGGGGTTGGACTTGGTGATCTTGGAGGCCTTTTCCAACCTTAATGATTCTATGGTTCCAAACAAATGGAACAAGTAATTTCATGTTGGTGCTTAGGACAACTCTGTAGGATCTTTGATGATACACGTAAGTCCATTTCAGAATATCTCCATGTGTAAACCCAAAAGCAATGAGCCCTTTGGTGCTTGGATGTAATAACGTTTCGAACGAACCATTTGTCTTCCTTCCCTCTTGGGTGAAGAAAAAATGTCCAAGGCCTAAAGTCAACTAGAGAGAGGAACAAACAGCCCTGAACTTTGAAAGCCAACAAGACAAAGATTTGACATTTCAAGATCTGCTGTCAAGATCTTTCCAAACAATGCACTTAGGGAACCTAAATTAAATGTGAACCTCGGATTTGCCAACTAAGCAAGGGGGGAAATTGTAGCCTGTGGTTGTGGTTGGAGTAACAAACAGTCTTGACTCTCACCCCCAGCATTAGGTGTCTGATCCTCAGAATTCTCAGGTAATTGCAGTCTCATACTCTTCTTTCTTTGAAAAGGAATGACATTAAGAGGATAAGTACAGAGCAGCTTGAATAGGCGCCAGTTAAAGCTAGAGTTCATGTATTTAAAAATGTTTATGTAAAGAACATATCTGCTGTGAACTGTAGGATATTTGCTAAGCAGTGACTTCTTCGAGGCAGTTTTTTTTAGCTGATGGTTGACGTTGTTCTGGAGAAGTCAGGAAGGTAAAAGCAACTCGCAGCAGCTCTTGAAGTATCGATAACTGCTTGGGTCTTAATTCTGACAGCTTGATATGAATAACAGTGATGAATCTGTTTGGGCCAAAGCTTTGTAGCTCTTTTTATAGTGTGCTTGTGAAGAAGCTTTGACGTTGTGTGGTGGAAGTGTGTTTGCTTTCTGGCAGTAGGTACAGGTGGGAGCAGGTCATTTTCCTACAGAAAAATACATCTTTTGCTGAGTGTGGTGGTGCTCTTTATTTTTCAGCTTTTTTGCCTTGGGAAACCAAATGCATATTTCATGCATGCTGCCAGATTCTGTTTTATCACCTAGGAAACAACAATTTCTCCTTTTTTTAGACATGTCTTTTCTTCCTGTTTCTCTTCCTTGTCACTGTGGCACTGTTCTCCCTCGAGGGCTCCATCTCCAAAGCCCGTTGCTCTCACCCTGGGGCACACACCTGGAAAACCTGTTTGAAGGTTTTCTGCTGTAGGCTGGACCTTCATTTCTCTCTGTCAGCTGAAGGAAGCTAAGGAAGCTAAATTAAGTCTGATTCCCATTTGGATCAGCGGAGATATAAATAAAAGAAGCACAGAAGGTGCAGGGAACACAATGCTGGAAGGGTAGGATCAGCATCCAAGAACATAAGGGCTGTCTCCACTCCTACAAAACCAAAGAATAGTGGCATTTGCAATTGTGCTGGCATTTGTCAGGATCTCTTCTGTGCATGCTTCCCCACGTGGCACTGAAGACACAGCATGAACTGCTCACACTGGTGTGTCACAGGTGCATAAACCAGCTGAAGCTTCACTTTATGGCCAGGTGCTGGCTGGGTCACCATCCCTGGGGTGTTCAGGGTCTGTGGAGATGTGGCACTGAGGGATGTGGGCATGGTGGGGTGGCTTGGGGTTGGACTTGGGGATCTCAGAGGTGTTTTCCAACCTTAATGTCCTGTGATTCCAAGAGCGGAGGTGGTGGGATGAGCTGGGGTTGGACACGACCATCTTAGTGGTCTTTTCCAACCTCTGTGGTTCTGTGATCTGATGTCTATATGAGGTGGATCACCACCTAAGGAAGCCCTGTCTTGATCTGCAGGCCATGCAGCCTGCTGTCCTGTAGGCTGCACCCCAAACCATGGTGTGAGTGTGACAGCTCAGAGACCAGTAACTCTGCTTTCACCCTGGTGAAAAGTACTTTCTACTTCCTGCCCTGCTTTCTCTTTTGCTTTTGCAAAGACTTCACCTGGTGACTGTTTAGCACTCAGCTTCCTGAAGAGTTTATTCTCCTTTTGTGTAATATTTCCTTGATGAATTAATTGTAATGCTAGAGAGAGTGTTTCCACTATGAAAACCCTGTTGGTGGAGCCTAATGTCACCAATGGCCCAGAAGAGTGTGGTGAGCTGCAGGAGGATGGGGGGATTTCGTAGAATCATGGGATGGCTTAGATTGGAAGAGACTGTAAGGATCACAGAACCATGGGATCATGGCGTGTTGGGATTGGAAAGGATCTTAAAGATCATAGAAGCATGGAGTCATCAGTTTGGGTTGAGTAGGGTTGGGTTGGAAGGGACCTTAAGGGTCGTAGAACCATGGAATAGTTGAGTTGGGTTGAGTTGAGTAGGATTGGGTTGGAAGGGACCTTAAAGGTCATCGGTTTCCAACCCCCGATTTAAAAGATCTGTGTAAAAAGAGTAAACAAATAAAGAATCTTAGAATGGATTGGGTTGGAAGGGACCTCAGAGCTCGATCCCAGGGTATAAAACACTGCTCTCAGGAGAATATTGTTTTGTTATTAATGTATTAATTAATGCCATAAGGTGTGGAACCAGTAGTTGAGTAGCTCCAGCATTCTTGGATTTTCCCCACATCAGGTGTTGTGAAGGTCCAGGGTTTTGTATCTCGTAGCATTATGAATTAATGTCTTAACAAACAGTTTCATATCTTTGCAGTAATTTTCCAGAGGTGCTGATGTGGCATTTGGCAGCACTTCTGGTGATCTAATTTGTTGGGTACTGGAGGGATGCTGTTGCTGTTGATGGATAGCCAAAAATAAACACAAATTCAGAACAGCAGAATACCTGGAATTAAGAGAGACAATGCAGTTACAGTTGTAATTAATCCTCTGTTGGATGTAGGTCTTGCTTGTCCCAGCTGCTGCTCTCACAGTGCCCATTTCCCTATGTAGAAAAAGGGGTTTGGGGTTTAACCTCCTCTTGTCACTCCTCCAAGTCAACCTGTTCAAGACCTGTGTGAATTTTACGTGTTTGCTGCTGCCAAGTTTGTGTTCAGCACGTGACTGAAAGTTGCTTCTTTACAGGTCAACCGCTTCAGTAAGGTGGAGGACAGAGCAATCTTCATCACCGACAGGCACCTGTATAAGATGGACCCCATGAAGCAGTACAAAGTGATGAAGACCATCCCCCTCTACAATGTAAGTTACAGACAGTCTCACAGTCACTGGCAGAGCACCTCTCCACAGCTCCATGTTCCCTCCATAGAATGGAAAAGGAGGTTGGGAAAAGGCACATTCTTCTCTTCCTTCTGCTCTTCTGTTATTTATTTGTGCTGCAGGAGCTTGGCCCCAGCAGGGTCTGGCATTTCACAGCAGCTTGAGACACGATTTCTCTGTCTCTGGGGGTTGGTTTGATCCTGAATGTTGTTTGAATTGATTTATATATATTTGTTCATGTTTAATGTAAGCAGCATTTAGCTGCCAGTCACAGAGCAGCAGATTATCACTGGGAGGAAGGGGGGAAGGGAGAAAAGCTCTTCTTAGAGCGTGGATTCAACCTGTTTGTTCCCGTCAGCCTGAGGTAATGCTGCTGTGATTATCTCCACCCTACAGAACCTGGCTGCACTGCTTGCAGATGTCCTACACAAATTGGTTGTGATGTTTGCATTTGAAGGAACAGTAAACCCACACTGCTAAAAAATGGGCTGAGGGGAGCAGTGAAACCTCACCTGCAAATGTGGAATGGGTGATCAGCTGAGATGGCATCCAGATGTTGGGTTGACTGGTCCCTTGCCAGTGTCCTTGCTGCTTATCCACCTAACCCCAGCACACTGTGGGGTAACTGCTGCTCTTCCCTCCTCCTTTGCTCGTGTGTTGCAGCAAAGCAGCCCCACGATGACAGTTCCTCTTGTTTCGCAGACACTGCTGTCACTGCAGCAACTGCAGGTCATTTCCTGAGCCGAGTGGTGCTGTACTGACATTATCTCTTAATTGTGCCAAACCCAGCTGTCAGCAGGCTGCGGTTAGCAATCTCAATGACTGACTCTTGCTTGTGCTAACAAACTTCTTAAACGCACAGCAGACTCTTTAAAGGTGGAGGGATGTTTTCAAAGGATCGAGGTGAGCTCAGACCAGCTGGGATTTGATGCATCACATACTTAAATGTCCATAGATAGAAATCAGCTTTATTCACAGCTCTGCAGCGATTCCCTTTGGGCTCCTGGACTGAACAATGGACGTGAGCTGAGCTATTGCCATTGAGTGCTTTGTAGGGGAAATGGGCTCCAAAGGACCCGCACAGGTGTCAGGGTCATATTCCAGCACGGTAAGTGCTGCATCTCTGCTCTGTTGGCCAAAGCCTTTTGCCTTCTGCTGCTGCACCATGGAAACAGGAGAAAATCCGTGCGTGCTGGGCTGGCGTCGTGGTGCACGCACTGATCTGCAGCCAGCAGTGCTGTCCCTACTGGGAAAGAACAATTGTTTGAACCAATATGAGAAGCAGCTGGGTAATGATTACAGCAGCGTTCGTAGGTCTTGGTGCAGATGGGCCCTACAGGAAGGTGTTGTCCATGGGAGCTGGTGGGGCTGCGGCGGGGCAGGTGGGTGCAGTGAGAGCTGTGCTTTTGCTGACAGCATTATGAAGCACCCTGTCAGCCTGGCACTCCTCAGGGCTGCTGTTTCCATGGAAATCTCAGCGGAGACATCAGCTGATGTCTGCTGCTCCCATCACTTGTTGTCAGCCCTGCCTGCCCCATCTCCTTCAGCTGTGGTTTCAGTGCAGCCCTTCGTGTCATTCCCACTTGCATTTCACGTGCTGCGTTCTCTTATTTTGTGTATGAAGGGAATTGAAGGTGGCTGAGAAGCAGGGAGATCTCAGGACTGCAGTGCTGCATGTTGTAAATGGAGCTCTGCAGCTGCTGGGAACGTTTCAGCTCTCCAGGCAGAGCTAATATTAGTGCTTGTGAATGCCCAGTTAAGCACCTTCTCAAAAACCATCTCTTTTGTATTATTTTTACTTGTTCAGTCTTTTGAGGGGGAGGGATGGGGTGAAATAGGGCAGTTTCGATGGGCTCTTGGACTTCTGACAGAGCTCTGTTGAATAATTAATGCTTCAGTTGGCTTTTCAGATTCAGAGACTTCAGCTGTTGGTGGCTCCTACTCTGCACACCGTGGTGGCACAAGTCCCCCTGTGCTCCCGAGATGTCATTTAAGCATGCCAGTCAATTGTAAGGGACACCGTACAGCCCAGCAGCTGTCAGTGTCTGTGCACTTCGTGGCAGTATTTCACAGCCCCAAAATAGTGTCAGTGGTAAAGAATAAACCCCACCTGTGTTGGGTATGTGCAGCTGGGAGCAGCAGGTCTCCAGGTCGGATCGTGCTCAGCTGCTTTCCAGTGCAGTGGGGGTACATGGAGGGCCTCTTCTTCCTCAGAAAGGGAATCATGACGTTTTGAGTTCCAGAAATGGCCATCGGTGCCTCGTGCCCATAGGAGAACGTGGTTTCCCTGTGCCTGGATTTGGGCAGCTCAGAGGAGTTGTGTCGTGCTGGGTGCACAGGGAGCATCTGCTCAACATCTCGTGTTCAGCATTTCTTCCTCTCTCCTGTGGGAGTCTGGTGTTGTTTTTGCATTAGAACAACATCAGAATTTTCTTAACTTCGTGGCCTCTGCTACCATTTGGGTCCTTTCTTAGAGCTCACGGTTCTCTTCAGGGGTCTTTCTACTTTATTGGGGTTCTCTGATAGCTTCCATTACTTATCCTTTAGGGAAACCTTCCCCAGCAACACACACTCAGTATATAAGTAATATAAACATAAATGCACCTCCATAGAGATTAGGTAGATGCAGTAAGCTGTAGCACAACGACTGCAGCTCCTGTCTGTCCAGCCATCTGAGAAACTTCTGGCCTTCAGCTGAAGGCAAGATGTAACAAATACCTTTACAGATCAGAAACCCCTTGATGTTAGAAAATGACTGGGTTTTGGTGCTGGACAGACAGGACCTGAGTAATAGGGGATTAAAGGGGGAGAAGCTAAATTAGCAGCATGCATATATAAGCCAGCAACAACTTATGTATAGCCAGCATGAAAACGTGTTGTACTTTGTCACACGCACTGCAAGACTGTCCTGCTCTAATTAAAAGGACAAGTGGTGATGTGCCTTAGGGAGTGCCTGGAGAAGGTGTTGAGGAAGGTCTGGTAACCCCCCCCCATTTGTTTAACAAAGAGTTTGAAGAAAATCAGCACATCAGTATGACAAGAAGAGCACTGGGACATCTTGGAAACAACAGGATGGCTGCTGACAGCTGATAGCACACCAGTTAACACGTGTGAACCTTGATAAGACTGTGAACCTGGAGTACCCAGCCGATGGGGAAACAGGAGAGGGGGGAGGCAGGGGGGGAAACAAGGTACAAAAGCTGTCATTGTGTCCTTAAAGGTGCTCCTGCTTGTGGGATGCCCATGGTGATAAAATCTGCTTTTATCAGAGATGCCACCCTGACAAATCACTTGGATATTTCCAACACTCCTTCCTCCCTCCATTCTCCCTCTACCAGTGAGGTGCTGGAACAGCTGCCCAGAGAGGCTGTGGATCCCCGTCCGTCCCTGGAGGTGTTCAAGGCCAGGCTGGATGGGGCCCTGGGCAGCCTGGGCTGGCATTAGGTGGGATGGTTGGTGGCCCTGCGTGTGGCAGGGGGTTGGAGATTCACGATCCTTGAGGTCCCTTCCAACCCTGGCCATTCTGTGATTCTGTGATTCTCCCTTTTTCTTGCACCAGTCTGGTAATGCTCTTGCCTCTTGGTTTTTGTTTTTGTTTTGTTTTCTTTCCCTATGAAACAAAACAACCAACAACCTGTTTTCTACCTTTTTATCTTCAGCATGGAGAGCCAATCCCTTTGGCCCTGCTCTTGGTGGCAGAGGCAGAAACGAAGAGGCAGCGTGCCGTACTGGAGAGGAAGGAGCTGTTGTGGCAGTGAATTACCTCCGTGTATCTGATGTTGTTCTTACTTTCTCTTCGCAGTTGGTCGGGTTGAGCGTCTCCAATGGAAAGGACCAGCTGGTGGTTTTCCACACGAAGGACAACAAGGATCTCATCGTCTGCCTGTTCAGCAAAGAGCCGTCCAACGACAGCAGGGTTGGAGAGCTGGTGGGCGTCCTGGCCAGCCACTTCAAGAGGTCGGTGCTGCAAACTCACTATAGCCAGGTCCAAAACTTTCCACGAATTCGCGCTGGTGTCACCCTTGATTTTTTATCTGTGTTCCTTCACTACTGCTGGGATACCGGAGCGTTTATTCCTTGTGTTTTTGAGACTACGCTTTGTTTACCCCTCCTTTCCCTATATGCGTTCATTAGAGCACGGATATTTGGGGACAAAATACCACTGAACGTGCATTATAAGTGTGTCAGCTCAAGCAGCACTTCAAGGTCAAGCTCTTAACGCCTAGAACTAAAGCACAGCTCTTCCTTCCTATTGACTCCCCTACTCCAGTGTCAGTAGATGATTTAGGGCTCGAGCTGTGAAATGGCAGCTGTTTCCCTGCACATCACCATGCAAAATCTGTTCTGGGGGTGGGCAGAGCCCTGCAGTGGTTGCTGTGCATGGAGCTCCGGGAGGTAGAGCTGAACAAGCAGGAGGCACCGTTGTTTCTCGCAGTGAGTTTGGAACTGCCCTAAGGCTGCACAGCACTCACTGCATTGCAGATGCAAAATTAACCCTCTGGAGACATGGTGTGAGCAGCAGCCAGGCCTACAGGGTTGATCTCTTGCTCCTGCAGAGCAGATTTGCTCTGAGAGAATCGATGCTGATCAGCATCACCTGCACCGCTGGTTCTTGCCTTTCTCAATGTCGTGTTCCAGTTATGAGCCATTAAGGGGAGTCTTTGTGGGTAAATGTTCGTTTAGAGCTATGGTGGAAGGGTGGTGAGAGTGAATTTAGGTTCTGATAGGTTCCTAAAAGCCACTTTTTCTCCAGTGTCTGATAGAGGTTATGGATCTAACCATAATGTACAGGAGCAGCTCCCATTTAATTTCCCAAATACCCAAATGTCACGCTGTCCCTCATCAAAGCAATATCTGCAAATCAAAAGAAAAGTGACAAAAGTCATGTTTTCACTCAGTTTCAATTTCCTAAGTGTGAAAAAATCCCAGTGGTGAATGGGATTAGCTGACCTGTTGCTCGAGAGCCACTTTGGGAATTCCTCATGAAATAGGATTTGCAGTCACTGTGTGGCACTGTCAGTTTTCCCTGGATCCAGCAGGGAGTCTTTGAGAAACCCAATGGCTGTGGGACCCTCCAAGGGGCTTGGAGCAGCCCTACACCTGTGATATGGGGCAGCTTCCTTGGGGACAGTGGGCTCTTATTTAGGATCCTCTCTGAGTGTGGCTGCAGCCATCCTTCATACCACCATGGTGGGGTTTCAGCAGTGTTAAAAGAGCAGTCAAAGCAATCCCTGCAGAATTCCAGCAGAAAATCACTTGCCTAAGGATAATTTCATATTTCCTGTTGCACGCTGAGACCCGTCAGCCTATTTTAATCATTAGTGTACTCTGGATTAATTGTCTTTAGCTCTGGCTTCTTAAACAGGCATACCCTAGAGCCAGTTGCCTTGGCACTGCAAAGCTATTGACCAAACAGCAGTTGGTGAAGGGGTGGCAGCTCAGGGCTGTGGTCCCATCACTGTTGGTCATCCTGTCCTTGGGCATGGCACAGCTCTAGGAAGGTGACAGCTCTCCTTATCAGCTGCATTCAGTGCTGTGCTGCTCCACGTGGGCATTTTGGGACGTGTGAGAGCTGGGAGCAGCGAGGTTGGTGAGAGGTGGGAGGCAGCTGAGGGCTGTCTGTGGGTTGGGTTGTTTGGTGGTTGGGGTTTGTTGGGTGGATGGAAGGCAGCGCTCTGCAAACACCCATCTTCAGTCAGTTTCTTGATGCTACCCGTTTAAAACAACAAAACCAACCAAACAAAAGCCAAAGGGATTCAGCGTGTTGTAAAAAAAAGGGGAACCCGAAGAAGAACCAAGAAGAAAGAAGAACCCAGACTGGGATTGGGAAGTCAGGGGTGGTGCTGGCACTTAACCCATGGCTCTTCTGAGGAGCCATCGCCCTCTGCACAAAAGGAGTTGAGCTGTGAGCTCGCAGTGATGGTTGTGCATTGCTGGGTGGAGGAGCACTGCATAACTGGGAGTTTCCATCCAAGCTGGGCTTTCTGCAGGCTGGATGTGATCAAAAGGAGCTGAGGGCAAAGCAAGCTGCTTCTGAATCGCTGTTGGACGCGATTTATCCTTTGTCAGCAGTGCCAACCAACCCATTTCAGCTCCCGTGCAGCTGTGCCAGTGGCTGACACCATTGTTAGGGCGGCTGCAGGCTGACAAAGGAGCAGACTTTATTCACAGCAGATTCTCCCGTAACGTTTTTTTTCTCCAGCAGGGCATAAATAGCTTTGTTTTTGTACAAGGTTTCTATTCATAACTGTGCTCTGGGAGCCTGCAGTTAGCTGTCAGATCGAAGCTCCAGGTACTCATCTGTGTGCTGGAAAAAACGCCTTAATTCCTCCAACATCACCCTGGTGGCAAAATCCAAGGAAGTTTAGCTGCCATCTGCCTTTAGCTGAGGTGCAGTCGTTATTTATCATCACCTCTGCTGATTTCTGTGCAGGTTTGCTGACCACGCTGTGGTAACTTGGGTTGAGAGATGACAGTTTTTCTTTGGAAAATACATCGCTTAGGTAGCAGATCTGATGATTTATGCCCTGGAGTCACCAAACAGGATCCTAGCACTGAGATGAGGAGCACTCTTGATGTTCTCTTTTAACTTTTTATTATTCAGAAGGGTTTTTTCCAGCTGTTGGTGCTCCTGAACTTTCCAGGAGCCGTTCCTGTGAGGAAGGACTCAGGAGGAGGTTGGAAGAGGATTGTTTCTTTCTTAAAACTCATTTCCCAAAGCTGCAGCACTGCTCTTTCACCATCTCCAAGGCCTGAACCCCCGACCAAGGAAGCCCATCTCACATCCAGAGTGTTTTTTTATGACACTTCTCAGCATATCTGTGCACAGCGAAGCTGACTTTGTCTCCTGGATCTGTGCTGAGGATGAGCTGAGCTCCGGGCAGAGCTGGGCTCTCCACAAGAGGCAAAGTTGGATCTTGAGCTCATCAATCCTTTGTTGGAGTCCTTGACTCTAAATCTAGAAGTCAGTTACTGTGTCTGAGCACACAGTGGTAGCAACTTGTTGTTTTTATGATATTCGTGCGACTACAAAGGATTTTGCTCCTGGGATGGAGGTCTTCATGGAGAGGAGTCACTGGAGGCTGAGGTGCATTGCAGGACGTTGCTTTCCCCAGGGTTGGTGCTTGGCGTTCTCTGAAATGATTTCATATATTAGAGATGTGCAGTGTTCTGTGGGGCACTTCAGAATAAAAACTCAAGGGATGGTTGGACTGAAGGGACCTCAATGATCACCCAGTTCCAGACCTCCTGCTTCAGAAGGCGAGCGCCAGGTTTCTGCAGTAATGGCAATTCCTAGCAGAACGGCCCCAGCCCGCCGTTCCCATCTGATACACTGCTCTCTGTGGTGGTGCTTTGCCTTACTGGCCTTTTGCAAAGTGTTCTCTGAGTGCCCCTCTCCTTCCAGTGGGTGCAGGGGGCTCAGGCAGACGCATCCATTCTATCCCTGTGTGTCCGTGGCGGTGTGGTGAGGCTGGAAGGATTCCCCATCTCCTGGGTGGCAAAGCAGAGAAATCCTCTCTGTTCTTGGACTGTCAGCGGTGGGAGGGTGAAACTGGAAGGGCTGTTTGTGGTCTGGGGGATAATGAGCATCTAGAAGCTGTGATACGTGGTTTGCAGCATCCTAGAACTGAACATCCAGCCCCATCCTGCTCCTGTCTACGTGTCCCAGGTGCCACCACGCTTCCAAATGTGAACATTTCACTATTTCGGAGCACGTCACATTTTCTCTCCTATTATCACACTGTCTGAGGACCTGTTTGCCCCTGGCACCCGTGGGTCCGTGTGCTGGGAACCTCCAAAGCCTCAGCCGTACAGACCTGCTGCATTTGGGGTTTATTTGGACAGGGGTTGTAACTCGTGCCATCTGCCTGGAGCTTGAGAAGGGATGCTGGGTTGGGAAACAGGCAGCTGGAGGGGTGGAATCTGCTGTGTTCCAGAGGTTGGAAACAGTGGGAAGAAAAATGCATAATGCAAGTATTTGATAATTTCATCAAAAACATCACTTTGTTCTTTTTCCCCCATATTCTTGCATAAAGTATCACAAAAGCACACATTAACACATTTTTCCTTCTAGTTTTCCACTTGATATCATTGGCAAAGCCCAAATCTTCTCTTTTGAGCCTTCTTTCCTTCTTTGCCTCTTGCCCATGTGGTCTCATCCTGTGACCTCGCTGTTCAAACTGGTCTCAGATAGGAGCTGTGTTTCTGTGGCTGCTCTTCCAGTGGTGAGCTGTGAGTTTGGTGCACAACGATGCTTTTATGGGCAGGGGGTCGGGTTGGGTTTGGTTCTCTGGGAATTTTGGAGCATGGAATTGATAAAATCTGGATGTGGTGAAGACCACAGTGTGACACCTGGCACGTCTGAAATGCAGAGGGTTGCAGAATATCCCATGGTGGAAGGGAGCATTGAGTCCAACCCCCGGTGTACAAGGAGCTGGATTTTGGAACAGACTTAAATTTGGTGAGAGCAGTGGGCCCTGATGACTTACCTGAAGCCGAGCTCGAAGGAATCAGTATTTGCATGGCATCAGTATTTGCATGGCACTGGAGTAGCCTGGCTGTGCCAAAACCCAACCAAAGCAAAAAGGGAAACTCAGCCTTTTAATTCATGACCAGCTGTGGCTTTTATTGTGTCTTTTTGTCCCGAAAAAGAAAACACAGCCTGCAGAATCAAACTCACAGCACAAAATCAGAGTGTATCTTCCTCACATATTGAGCCTGGTGCGTGGCTCCCTTCATAACTTCTGCTTTTCCAGCTTATCTGGTGGGTGTTTTGTCCATGGCTCTGCTCTGTGTGCCAACTTGTTGGGTTTTGTGTCGGTTTTGTGCAAATCAAAGATTTGCAGAAGTGTTGGGATGAATTCCGTGGTGTTTTAATGAGTTGGTGCCATTTCAGTCCTGCAGATCCCCCGTTTGGCATGGATTGGCCGTTGCTTAAACATTGCTTTTTCCCTCCCCTTGTCCCAAGGAGGGGTGAGGATGGTCCAGAGTAAATTTCCTTGTAAGAATGAGACTGTTGGATCTGTCTGAGCTCAGAGCTGCGCATCGTCATTACGGTGCAGACGGTGCTGTGTGCTGCTGGATGCAGAGGGAGGGCCGAAGGGAGCCAGAAAGGAGAGAGGAGGTGTAAAATCCCAGTTCTGCATTTGGTGCTCGGAGCAGAGGTGTGCTGGGGTTGGGACTGGGGATCTGAGATCTTCTCCAGCCATAACGGTGGGTGGCACGGTGGGCTGCTGACCTTGGAGTCCTCCAGCCCGGTGTCTCTGTGGGTGGGCATGGTGGGCTGCTGGGTTGCACTTCTGGTCAGAGCAGTCCTTCTCCCCGCTGCCTTTGCAGGACCCCCGCTGATCTTTCTCTGCTCTCTTTTCCTGCCCACTTTGCCCTTCCTGCAGAGCTGCATGCTGCTGTGATCAGCACTGCTGACAGATGTCCGCGGCCGTTTCTGCGCTGCTTGCTCTGCGTTTCCCCCGAGCTGCTGGGCTGCACTCAGTCAGAACTCCCACATTTCATGGGCCAGCGCTCTGCTTCCACTTGGAGTCACCCCCTCCCTGCTGGTTTCCCTTTGGCCAGCATTTCCCCAGTGCTGCCCAGCTCTGCATGGAGCTGAGATGCAGCTCTGCCTGTGCTGCCATCGGTTCCTCGCTGGGTTGGAGCTGCAGAGCCCCAGTGCCTCCCGAAGGGCTGAAATGCTTCACTGAGCTTCCAGCATCACAGCTGGGCCTCCTCCATCTCAGACTTATGGTTGCATGTGGTGATCTTGGAGATCTTTTAGTGCTCTCTGATTCAGTGAGTGGGCACGGTGGGGATGGGATTGGATGTGGTGGTGTTGGAGTTCTCCTCCCTGAGGACCTTGAGGAAGCCTGCACCCTGCCTGCACCCTGCCTGCACCCTGCCTGCACCCTGCCTGCACCCTGCCTGCTCTCAGGGCACTGGCTGGGCTTTAGGAACAACGTGCCAGCTTGTTCCTGAGCAGCAGAGCTGAGTAGGATGTAAACTCTAATCCAGAATGGCATTACGCGTCTCCTGCGTGTCTGACAATGAAACCAAACTCATTTCTCCCTGCTCCTACAGCCACAGCCCAGTTTGTAGCTACAGTTTGGGAATATCATGCTGTGCTGCACTGCTGGCTCTCGCTGTGCTGCCCCACAGCTGCCCCTATGGGCACTGCTCAGCTCTGTGCTCCGCTGCCACAGGAGCAGGGCAGGCTCTGAGCTGTGCTGTCCTGCTGGGCTCTGGGCACGGCTGCAGTTTGGGCCCCATCCACACGGTGAAGCTCTTCTTCTGGGCTTGGCACAGCCCTCTGTTTGCATTTCCTTCCCGACCTTCCCTCACTTTGGGGTTTTCTTCCCCCCCCCACACTGCTCAGCAAGGCAGGGGGAATGCTTGGAGGCTGAGAAACCGAGGATGGGAACAGGAACCAGAGAGCAGTGCTGCAACCCCTTGAATTCCACAACCCCCTCGTCTCCCCCATTTTCCATCACGTGTCCCCTCCACGCCATGCCCACCTGGCACCGTTTGCTCTCATTTTGTAGATCAGGGCTCCGGTAGCTGTCAGCAACCAAAACCAGCACCAAAAAGACTCTTCTTGATCATCTTTAGCACTGACCTACTTAAAACCCCTTCCCTGCTCTGAGCTGTGCCGGAGCGCTGGCTTCAGCCTGCGAGGAGCTGAGAGCAGAATG